GCGCGGGAGGAGGGAGCCGGGGCCGGAGGGGGCGGGGACTCCGGCTGCGGCCCGCGGCCGCCGGGTCCTAGAGACCGCCGACCTCACCGCAGACCCGCGTCTGGGTCCTAGCGCCGCTCCGAGTCCCGGCTGCACCCGCATCTCATCGCGAGCGGTCGTCCTGCTGGATTCGCCCAGGTCAAACCGAAAGGCGAGCCATACCCCAGGGTTAACCTAAACGACGACTACAGCACATTTCGAGGACCAAACGCCGATAGATGAATGCTTTTCTAACTGTGACAACTCCGGGGCTGCTTATTTCCTCCTCCTCAGCAGGGCAGTAGAAAAGTGGAAGTGGATAGTTAGGGGACGCTTCACACCAGGTAAAGGGGTGAAGCGACAAGCACAAATCCACTCACCTATGCTTCTGGAGGGGGACAACCTGGTCCTGCCTGGCTCACCGCTTCCCTGGTGACATCTGCAGGGCCTTGGACGTCGGAGAGAATCCTGCACGTGGGGAGAGGAGACTGGGCTCTGAGTCTAGCCTAAATGTGGCCAAAAGGTAAAGATAAGCGGTAAACTAGCCAACAGATAGAATGTCCCAAATTGCTGAACTGTACTTTTCACAACAAGGCTACGTAGCTGTGTTCTTTGGGGGAAATGGGAAGTAAAATCTAGCAAGGAATTAAGAGTTTGGCTTTCACCTAAATGTGCATTGCAGGAAACCAAGATGGGAAACAGCTTGCAGCTGATTGGTTCCCCCCCTCCCCCCAGGGTTTCTCTGTGTAGCCCGGGCTACACAGTAGACCAGCCTGGCCTTGAACTCACAGAGATCCACCTGCCTCTGCCTGAGAGGTGGAATTAAAGGCGTGCTCCACCACCTGGCGCGTACTGATTTTTTAATTAAAATTTCTCATTTGCCAGATGCAGGAACAGAGCTACAGAGGCTCACTGACTAGCTCAAGGTCAGACATTAGCTGTGATACAAGTAGGAAAAAAGAAAAACTTAACTCCCTTCCTTACAATTCAAGAGTTTTCTGGATTCGTAATCCCCACTCAATCCAATAACCAATTGCCTAAACTGTGCAGAGCTAAGTCTGAATACCTAGGAAGAACAACAGATAGAAAAAGGACAAGGAAAATTCTGGCTGTTTGGGACGTGTCAACAAATACCATTTCCTCTTGGGGGATGCTAAGAGACTGGGAAGCTGGGTGTGGGTAGAATACGGTAGAGCCAAACCCAGCAGTCTAAATGGGATTCCCTTACTCTTCGGGGGGGGGGGGTCCTGAGCGTGGGAAACACATCCCACCCAACAAACAGATAGTTCAGAACGGGAAGCCTGCCTTCAACGTGGGCCGGCAGAGGTTAAGGGGGTTCCTCTCCCCCACTGAAGCAAGTAGATTACCGAGGGAAGGAGGAGACGGGAAACAAAGTCTCTTCCCCGTCCAAATGGGTTTATAAAGTCGGTCATGGTGGCCCATGCCTGTAATTCCTACACTGGAGAGATGGCAGGGTCGCCATGAGCTCAGGCGGTCTACACATCGAGTTCCAGACTACCATGGTGAAACTTTGTCTGGGAAAACCAAAAGGAGATTTATAGGTCATTTGGGGTGGGGGGGGTGGGAGGATCACCTCACCCCTCCGACAGCCCACGCTCAAGGGATGGGAGTTCTTCCTTGTGGAGAAAGAAGTAAACTTTTGCTAAGGAATGCTAGCCCCCCAAATAAATAAGGAAAAATAAAGGTTACGCTGGAACTGGCACCTGAAGGCAGGAGGGGGAAGAGGCAGGTGCAGAGGAAAGCTGGTATCCCTTTTTCCTCCTCTTCCTTTTCCAGGGCAGATGAGAGAATCTTCCTACCTCCCACCACCGGGCTAACCAGTCCGGGACCCGGCAGGCAGCAGGGGAGGAGCCTGCGCCAGTCAGACGTCCGTGACCACGCCCCTCCGCTTCACCACCACACACCCACACACACCCACTGCTGGCTCCGGAAGAGCCGGTTACTCCTGTGCCCCACTGTCCCCACCCCTTCCGAGCCCCAGGCCTAGTCTCCTGGGCAACCTCTAGGCCCTAGCCCAGCCCTGAGCCAGGAAGGGAAGGTGTGTGCTAAAAGACCACCTGGGATCAGAAGAGAAAAAGAGGGCAATAACGCAGGATTTCCCCTGGCGGGTACAGAAGGGTTTCGCTCACCTTCGACCCCGAATAAAATCCTCCTTTATCCCATCTAGTCTGGGATCCTCCCTGCTCTCTGAAGGATGTGGGTGGGCTGGGGATATGCCCCAAAGTTAAGTGTTTACCTTTTGCCAGATGCCACGACACTTGAGACCACCCCCCTCCCCACGCCAAGTCTGCACTACAGAGGGCAGACTGACCTCATTTGAGCCCAAACATTTCTCAATTCCATAAAATGCGGCCGGCTGCTCAACAAGCCTCGCCTTAAGAAGCTTCTAAAAAGGGAAAGGAGCCAACGGTCACTTTTATCAGCAACTTGTGAGGGCAGTAGGGGACAGGGCCGAACCTCCCTCAAAACAAGAGGATGAGAAATGAAAGGGAGGGAATGAACACCTGCTCCCCCTTTCCCACACTCTCCATGTTCCTGCTGTACCTCTCTAACTCTGGGGTCAGCTGCCAGAGTGCCAGCCACTCTGGAGCCAGATGGCTGGGGCTATGAGGGCGGTGGTGGTACCACAGCCCAGCTCTATCTTCCCCTTCCCCTTCCAGACACTCCTGGCATGCATCCCCAGACAACACAGGCTCACCCCCAACACACACTGTGCTCTCCCAGCACTCTGGGTCGTGACTCAGAACGGTATGAGCCACCCTGACAGAGCCAATCCTGTGATTCTAGAGGCGAGGGCTCCAGAGAAGGAGCTGGGGGCTCAGCTGGACTTGGAAGGAGTATCCCGGCTAGCTGACTGCTCCCTCGGCCTCGTAGCTATCTATATTCCCACCCAGGTTCAGGCAAGACAATCTCAATGAATTTTGGGAAGGTTAGATCCCGTCATAGTCTATCACAAGGGATCAAACCCTCCCCTCCTCCAAGTGGGCCTGCGCCCCTCGGATTTAGTCTTGTTTCCAAATTTCCCAATGGACAGTTCCATGGTGGGAATGTAAGACAGCGAGAGTTTTTTGTTTTTGTTTTTTTTTTTTTTCTTTCCTGGAGTCATCTGAAATGAAGAAGCTCGGGTTTTCTATGCCTCACCCGGCACCCCAAATCCCTTACTCAGCCCGGGTCTGTACTGCCGCAACAGCCGCTGAGGCCCAGGATCACAAGGTTCCCGCAGCGCGGCGGCCCCCAGCGCCGGGACTAGGGCGAGGGAGGGGCCAGCCCGGAGCCCGGGCGAGCGCCCTTCCCACCGCGATCAGGGGGCGGTGCTGAGCTCCGACCCCAAACTCCCATGGAGGAGCCCGAGGTGGGACTCGATTGAACTTGAAGGGCGAGCGAGGCCGGGCGCGCAGACCGTAGAGCGCGTTGTCCCTCCCGCCCTTACGCCGGGGAGTTGCCGGGGTGGCGGTTATCCCCCCTCCCGCTGGGGTTAGGATGGCGTGGGAAAGCGCTGGCTGCGGAGCACAGGAGAAACCCAGACCGCGCCGGGAGATCCTTCTGGCGAGCAGAGGACGGCGGGGGAGGGGAGGTCCCGGCCGGCACAGGAGGGCTCCCGGGAGAGGATGGCGTGAGGAGCACCCCGGTCACAGAGGACGGGGGAGGAACGGGCGCGCCGATGGTGCGGGGTGCGGGGGAGAGGGGAAGGTCAGACCCCGGGTCCCACGGCTGGAGGCGGCTGCGGGGGACGCCCTGCCCGGGACTCGGGGCCTGGAGGTGGGTGCCGGGCCTCACCTGAAGCAGGGCCGGGTCGGACGGCGGCGGCGGCGGCGCAGGTGGCGGAGCCGGGCGGCGGCGCCTCCTCCCCCAGCCCGAGGCCGGCGGCGATGGAGGGGGGGAGGTGGCGCTTAAAGGGGCAGGAGCTACCCGGGTGAGGACGAGCGAGCGCTCAGGGACGGCTGTCGCCGAGGATCCGCTGGGGGAGGGGAAAGCGGGTGGCGTCTCCTAGGGGCCAGAACCAGAAAGGATCCCAGATGCAGGGAAGGACCGAAACTTCTACGGCGTAGTTGGGGATGGCGGTGGGTCTGAGCCCCAGTACTTGAAGAGCTCGCTCACGCTCTCTCTCTCGCTCTCTCTCTCTCTCTCTCTCTCTCTCTCTCTCTCTCTCTATCCTCCCCCCCCCTCTCTCTCTGCGGGCACTCCCGGAGCACCAGCAAAGACTTATTCACAAAGGAGGCTGGGGAGCCGGTGGGAGCCACAGAGATTCTAGGGGAGCAGGAGAGGGAGCGCAAGGCCGAGCATGTCGGGGTCACGCACGCACAGCGCCCTGCTAGGTAAACACGCTTCTTCCGGGCCCCGACCCGTATTACAGCTGTGGAGACTCCGGAATCAGGAAGCCACAAAGGCAAAAACCCTCCCTGTCCTGTCCTGTCAGCCCTCTGGGTATTGTGGAGGCCGTCCACAACCGGCGTAGTGAGGCTGTGCAGGACTGTGAGAATCGGCTTTATTCATAGCTCAGTTTGGCCCCAGCATCGCCACCGCCACCGCCACCGCCACCACCCTTGCAGCCACCTCTGGGGCAACAGGATGCAGCTGCTCAGCGCATCCCCGACCTGGTGGTGGGCTAGAACAGGGGAAGAGGAAAGACTAGACTTTATAAGAGAAGCTAGGGGGAGGGGAGGCGTCTCTAACAGGACCAAGAGTGGACTTCGTAGTGAATACTGTAAAATGCTACCTGAATTTTAGCCGCTTAAGTGGGGAGGGGGGCCCTAGCAGGGACTTCCTTAGCTCTGGGTTTGCCAATGCTAAGACCCCAAGCGGAGAGGCTCACCAGCTGAGAGCCCTGTGTTCCCCCCCAAGTCCATTTCCTCTCCTTAACCCCCCAAAAGAGCAAAGGTTAGGCCCCACCCCTGCTGAGTCAGCCGGGGAGGGAGCTAGGCATCCCTCAGGCCTTTCCCAGGGGCGGCTATCAGACTTACCCATGTCAGGCTGGCAGGACTCCAGAAGAGGACCCAGCTTCTCACTGTCCTTACGTCTCGCTTCAGTTGAAGGCTAGAGTTAGGTCCTCCCCAACTATAAGCTGGGAACTCGAGAAAGAATAAAAAATTAAAAAAAAAAAAAAAAAACCAAGAAAGGCAATGTATGCTTCCTGCGAACCACAGTCTGAACTGCTGTAGGGTGATGTCCCTGTATGACAGCCTGGGGTGGGAGGGAGGAGAGAAGGGCGGGGCTTTCACTGGGTGGAGAGAGGGAGGAGGCAGGACAGGGCGGGCCGGGAGAAATAATGGAAGGTTAGAGCTGTGTTAACACTTCGGGACTGTGGTAGAAGAGGGTAGAAGGGAGAAGAAAGCAGAGTTGCAGCTAACGAAAGGGTGAAGGTTCTCGATAAAGGCTGGAGGACCTAAACGCCGGGACGCAAGTGACCTTAGAATGAGTTTCCAAGTCTGCATTTGGGCGACAAAGCAGAAAGGGGTGTCCTGTACTCGGGGTTTTTTTTTTTACCAGCTTCTTACCCAGGATATGCAGGAGGTGTCCTCGCCCCCAGAACACCTTTTCCCCCAATCCAAGCTCTGGGAGCAAACTACCAAGCTCAAACAACTCAGGGGCGCCACCTTCTGTCCAGATCCTGATACGGGCGGGACTAAAGTCAAGGACGTCATAGATGGGAGGAAGCTTGAGGCCTCTACTCCACCCCAGGATCCTCTCCCAGAGCCTTTCCTCAGCCATTCAGGCCACAGAGGGCTGAGGATTGGAGATTAGCGGTCTCTGGCCAGCTTCTGCCCTATGTGTACTTATAGACACTACTCAGGACAAGAGCTCCAGCTGGTTTGTAAACAGTCATTAGACGACACAAATACCTCCTAACAAATAGCCTTTTATACCTTTCAGAAGGGTGGTCTTAAAAGGCTGCCACTCAACGCGCTGGAGGGCACAAAATATGCCGTGCATATTGCACTAAGAAGCACATTTTATGCAAAGTAACTTGTTCAAAAGCCCCAATAGCAATACTAAAAAATTGCTCTTTCATTGTAACTTTAAGTCTTCCTAATTTTTCATAAGGGATCTTAGCTGGCAGAACCTCAAACACAAAACACGCGAGTCTAGGCTTGATTAAATATCTGGAGGCTGTTAGGAACTTTCTGAATAATGAAGGCCTAGACAAGGCCCCAGAGACCCTCAATTGCAACAGATAATCAACATTTCCTAAAAGCTTAATCCCTGTCTTGAAATTAACCTGTTTTCCTGAGATTTTTTTAAAAATTATTTTTATAAGATTTATATTATGTATAGAGACTGCAGGCCAGAAGAGGGCGCCAGTTCTCATTGCAGATGGTTGTGAGCCACCATGTGGTTGCTGGGAATTGAACTCAGGACCTCTGGAAGAGTAGTCACTGCTCTTAACCCCTAAGCCATCTCTCCAGCCCCCTGAGATATTTTTTTAAACCATCATCCTGCAGGCTGAGGATGGTTTAATGAATGGTTAAGAACACTGGCTGTTCTAGAGAACCCCAGTTCACTTCCTAGGACCCATCAGTTCCAGAGCTGATGTTTTCTTCTGGAAAATTCAGACATTAAAAATCATCTTGTACCAGGTCTGTGTATGTATGCAGAAGCAGGTTCCAAGCGTGAGGAGGTCCAGGTTAGCTAGGTTATACAGGCAGACAGTTCCAAAAGAATTAACCAAGAACCATTTGGCCAGAGTGGGGATGGGTGCTGGGGAGCATACTTGTAATCTCAGCACTTGGAAGGCCCAGGTAGGGTCACCAAGGCCAGACCAAGATTCAAGAAACAATGAAGAAAAGCCATATGAAACACTCAGAAACAAAAGAAAATTGGACAACTTAAGAACCAAAGCTGAGGCTGTTCATGACCTCACTAGCCACAGGAAACTTCACAACACCCACAGAATTTCACTAATTGAATGGATCTTCATTTTTAACTATTTCAAACAAACTGACATTATGCTAAATTCAGCCTCATAGTCAACAGCATTATAATTGTTTCAGAAGCAAGACAGACAAATGAGGGGTGTACACTTTATTGAAAACATTAAATACTCTTCAGATAAGACGTCACTTCTTCAACCAAGGCTCTTGTGTGGCCTACAGAAACTGAGCTTTCAGCTCGGAGTACAGTACAGAGAGTCTGAAGAAGGACCCCTCATGATGCATGCTCTTCTGCCAGCTTATCAGCCTTTGCCACAGCTTCTTCAATGGGCCCCACCATATAGAAAGCTTGCTCTGGGAGATGGTCATAGTCACCTACACAGAGGAAAATATAATTAGAAGGAAATAGTTATATCAACTCTGCAGAACACACAACTTCAGCACTTGAGGCCATTGGCCAGACTGGCAAATGCCAGTCCAAGGGAACGGAACTTTCTTCAACTTCCAAGTGAATTTTGTTTCTTGGGACAAGGTTTCTTTATATAACCATAGATGGCCCTGAACTCAAGAACCCACGGGAGCACTGGGACTAAAGGTGTGCTTCACCACACCTGTCCCTTCCAAGTATAACATGATAAGGTATAGATTAACAACACATAACTAAGCCAGGTGTGGTGGCACGCCTTTAATCCCAACATGGGAGGCAGAGGCAGGTGGATCTCTGTTGATTTCAAGGCCAGCCTGGCCTACAGAGCTAGTTCCAGGCTGTGTGCAGAGAAACCCTGTCTTGAAAAACAACAAAACAAAACCATAGTTTGAGGCTGGGAAGAGGGTTGAGAAGGTAAGAGCGTGGGCTGCTCTTCCACAGGAGGCCAGTGCAATTCCCACACTCACATTCCACATGGTGGCTGGGCTGTAGCCCTCTTGGCCCCCACTGGCTGTTGAGGGATCTAACCCCGTGGGCTCCTGCATTCTCATGCGTACTCAGACATGTGAACAATGAAAAATATTTTTTTTAACATAATTGGGAGCATCTGAGTTCAAATTCTTACTCTATGGGGTTCAGTGTCATGGGGCAGTTTAAAATGTTCTGAAATGCCCTCTTTAATGAAAGGTAAAAATACACATCATTTGTGTTATAGTGGATAGAAAGCACAAAGAACATTCACTAAGGGCTTCAGCTTTTCTACCATTTCTATGGTTAGCTTGGCAGAAAACCTCACCAGCTAAAATCTGCTGGAATCCTTTAATGGTCTCCTTCAAGGGCACCAGCTTTCCCATATGACCCGTGAAGACCTCAGCAACCTGGAATGGCTGAGACAAGAAGCGCTGTATCTTCCTTGCTCGGGACACAGTCAACTTATCTTCCTCAGAAAGTTCATCCATACCCAAGATGGCAATGATGTCCTGGAGAGACTTGTAGTCCTAAAAGAACACAAGATGAAAAGGACAGAGGTGAGCATACATTCCTCTGACTTAGAAACCTATTACAAAAGTTTCAGCTGCGTCCTGGCCAAGGTTTTGTCAGGTTCTTCCTATTCCTTATCAATAACCCTGAACAAGTGGACTCTACAGGTGAAGCACCTGGGACCTCATCAGCAGTACTAATTCCTTCCTTCCTTGGGAAGGACACTCACCTGCAGGATCTTCTGCACCCCACGAGCAACATCGTAATGCTCATTGCCAACAATGTTTGGATCCATGATTCGAGAGGTGGAGTCCAGAGGGTCTACAGCTGGATAGATGCCCAGCTCAGCAATGGCACGGGACAGCACAGTCGTAGCATCCAAATGGGCAAAGGTAGTTGCAGGGGCAGGGTCAGTCAAGTCATCCGCAGGCACATAGATGGCCTAAAGTGAGTCAAGAAGTCATGGAGGTCAGCAGCAACCAAGCGAATCCCTACTTGGGCCACCTGCCCCCCCCCCCACTTTGTCCTACTGCAGGCCCACACTAGTCCTTTTTGTCCTAGCAACCATGGCGCTGGATCAGTGTCCTGTGCTACACTTTAGCTCCATTGTAATAGTACCAACTTCTAGACAAGTTTTGGTTTTAAACAGTCAAAGGTCCATTGCTGGTGTCAAATGCCTTTGATCCCAGCACTAGGAGGGGGCAGCCCAAGGCCAGCCTGGATTACAGATCAAGTTCAAAGATAACCAAGGCTAAACACAGGGACCCTGTCTTGAAAAACCCAAAAACCTTCTAGCAGTAAGTGAACATGAACACAAGAGTGCACAATAGAGGTTGCAGAGATGGCTCAGATGCACTGGCTCTCTTTCAGAGGACCTGAGTTCAGTTCCCAGCAACTACATGGCGGCTCACCACTGTCTGTAACTCCTATTGTAGGGAAGAACCTGACACTCACACAAACATACAGACATGCAAACCACCAAAAGCACAGAAAATAACAATAAATAATTAAAAAGCCCACAATAGTTTAGTGAACATGAACATAAGAGTGCATCTCCAATGACAAGGTATGTTTAGCATCCCAAGCCTTGCAGGAAGCCCCAGAATGCTTGCCCCACAACAAAGAAACAGTGAAAACCAGATGGGCTGATGGCTCTCATGTAATCCCAACACTTAGGAAGCAGAGGCAGAAGACTGCTATGAGTTGGCAAACTCAGCTGGTTAGAGAGCAGGCACTAGACCAGCTAGCCCCACACCGAGGACCACACAAGTGTTCCTATTGCTGCACGCCCTTGAGTTTATGTGCACAGTATGTATGGATGAGCCTGCAGAAAGTTCAAGAGCGGCACATCTCCAACTGGAGTTACAGGTGGCTGCCAGCCACCACTAGGCATTAGGAATAAAACCCAATCCTTTGCAAGAGCAGAGATAGATAAATACACACACACTCCCCCAGACAGGGTTTCTTCGGTAGCTTTGGAGCCTGTCCTGAAACTCCCTGTGTATACCAGGCTGGCCTCCAACTCAGAGATCTGCCTGCCTCTGCCTCCCATCAGACAGTATTTTTAATTGCTGAGCCACTGATCCAGCCCCAGACAGCTTCAAACCATTTAAGCGTCATGTAGCCAAGTTAGCCAGGAACTCGCTATGGAGCTAAAAACAGCCTTGAATTCCTAATCTTCCTGCCTCTTCCCACATGCCAAGATTATGGCATTTAATACCAGCTCCAGCTATTGTTTGTTTCAAACTTACCATTTACAGTCTGACATACAAACATGAGATTTTACACATTATTCTAACTGGTTAACTTCCCTATACAAAAGCCCTTTTGGAGCATGCATGCATTTAATCCCAATACTTGGGAGACAGATAGATCTCTGAGTTCAAGACCAGCCTGGTCTACATAGAGTTCCAAGGCTACATGAAGGTGAAACTCTGTGTCAAACAGCCCTCCAAACAGCCCCCTCTTCCTGGAACTCTCAATATAGATCAGGTTGATGAACTCAAGAGATCCACCTGCTTCTACCTGAGTGCTGGGATTAAAGATGTGTGCCATGCCATCCAGACACCAAGTGTTATTTTAATGTGTCCATATGTATGCCTGAATCTATACACATTTACCACGTGTGTGCAGGTTGCCTATGACACAGACCAGAAGAGGGCAGCAGATCCACTCAGAGCTACAGATGCTTGTGAGCCATCTGACAAGGCTACTGGGAACTAAACCAAACCCAAGTCCTCAGGAGAGAAGCAGGCCAAAATACAAGGCTTTATATATTCCAAGATTCTCACCTGCACAGAGGTGATAGACCCCTTCTTGGTGGTGGTGATTCTTTCCTGCATCGTGCCCATGTCAGTGGCTAGAGTGGGCTGGTAGCCTACAGCAGAAGGGATTCTGCCCAATAAGGCAGACACCTAAAAGACAGAAGGGAAAGCCAGGTCTATGGTCTACACCTTCAAGCTACTATACTTCATCAGTCTGCTCTAGGCCTCCCCTATTACCTCTGAGCCGGCCTGGGTGAAGCGGAAGATGTTGTCGATAAACAGCAGGACATCCTGACCTTCTTGGTCTCTGAAGTATTCCGCAACGGTAAGACCAGTCAGAGCTACCCGGGCACGAGCACCAGGTGGTTCATTCATCTGACCATACACCAACGCCACCTGTGGTTAAGTCCATAAATCAGAAAAGTTCTGAGGTTCCCAAGCAAGGAAAGAGTCCACCACGCCTCCCACTCAGATGCCAATGTTTCTGTGTGCAAATTCCTTCTCCCCAGTATACATGAAATTCAAACACGAAAGACAGTTTCTGAACTGGAAAGAAGATATATAAAACAGGGTTGTCTGAGATATGTGAACCCCTTCCACCCAATCCCTGCAAATCAGCACTGAAGTTAACTGGATTATCCACCAAAACTAAAGACTAGAAAGACCTCACACCAGAGGAAACTGTACACTGGCATACAGGAAGACGGTGATGGGAAAGGACTTTTTTTTACGGCACGGCTTCAGCTGCCACTGTTCTCTGAATCACACTAGGGCATCAACCAATCAGCTCATAGCTGACCTTGGAGGTGGCATCTTTGAGGTTGATAACACCAGACTCAATCATTTCATGGTACAAATCATTGCCCTCTCGGGTCCGCTCGCCAACACCAGCAAACACAGAGTAACCACCATGGGCTTTAGCGACATTGTTGATTAACTCCATGATCAGTACTGTCTTCCCGACGCCAGCCCCACCGAAGAGTCCTAGGTGAAAAGGAGGTATTTCAGCATTCCCAAATTAAGCCACCTTTAAAAAACATTCACCTCTGTCCATCCTTTCCCTTCTCAGCAATGGTATCTGGCTTCAGCAAACTCAGAAGAACGAAAGTCAGAAACTAATCATCAGCGAAGGACATCCACTCGGATGAGGGCATTTCCCTCCCGTGCTGTATCTGGGAAACACCTATCAAGCACCAACGTACCGATCTTGCCACCCTTGGCATACGGGGCCAGCAGGTCCACAACCTTTATACCAGTCACCAGAATCTCCTGCTCCACACTCATCTCTATGAACTCAGGAGCTTCAGCATGGATTGGAGCAAATCTGTAAGGTTTAAATATGAGAAGAGGGTCAGTGACTGCTCAATGTGCAGAGAGGCCACTAGGTCCCTGCCAACAGCCAAGTCTAATCTTGTCCAGGTGAGCTGCGACGTAACATCTAACTTTCTGCAATAAAGACTTTGCCTCAGGAGTAAATGACCCCTTTTCCTGAACCTTAGTGTTAACAAAATTCCTTTACATACCTACCAATCGGGAAATAAAGATCTGCAAATTGCAGAGAACCCATTAACCAATGGGGTGCTTCTAACAACCCAAACTCCCCCATCTCTAATTCCAACAACTGAACACAACAGAAACTCAAGTAGAACTTTAGGGAAACCGCTTTACTACAAGCTATTACTTTAACGTGTAAAACTGCAAGGTAATGGTTCACCGTTCACAATTGCAACCGAGGGGAACTTACTGTTTGGTTTTGATTGGGCCTCTCTCATCAATAGGTTCTCCAATGACATTCATGATTCGGCCCAAGGTCTCTGGACCGACAGGAATTTTGATTGGTGCGCCCGAGTCCAGGACTTTCTGGCCCCTAACCAAGCCTTCAGTACCATCCATAGCAATGGTTCGGACGGTGCTCTCCCCTGTCAGATAAACGCACTGGAGGTTACACGCACCAAAGCACTGACAGTAGGCGACACACGTGTGAGCAAAAGCGAACTCCCCCTCAGCAACTGAATATGGCTTCAGCAATGTCAGAAGAACGAAAGTCATTTTGATAAAATCATCACGGAAGGGAGCCGCTATGGATTTTGTGGCTCTTCACCACGGGGGGGGGTAAAAAAAACAAAACAAAAAAAAAACAACTCCTACTTACCCAAGTGCTGGGCCACCTCCAGAACCAGTCTGGTCTCCCTGCCCTGCACTTCCAGGGCATTCAGGATGGGGGGCAATCCCTCATCGAACTGGACGTCAACCACGGCGCCGATGACCGCCACGATTCGCCCGGTGGCAACGCCTGCCTTGGGCGACGGAGCCGTCTGGGCCGCATAGTCCCTGGCTAACAGACAAAAGGATTTTCACCGGGCGGCGATGCGGGGTCAGGACAGCTAAAGGTCAACGGAGGCCCCGCCGGTCCCCACGGAGGGGCCATTCAGCCCAGACCCAGTGTCCGGGTAGCGCACGGGGCCCGCCAGGCTGCGTCGGGGACCCGGCCTCGTGCACAAAACCGCCATGACTCCCGCGTCTGCCTCCGCTCCCCTCCGCGCCCCAAGGTCAAGGCAGCTCGCCCGCCGCTTGGCCGCCACAAAGCGGGGCGCTGCTGGTCCGATCCACGCTCGCACGCGCGGCCCGCGGCCCCCCGGGCTCCTCAGGGAAAGCCGATACCCTAGGCCCAGGCTCAAGGTCACGGCGGGGAAAGGGACGAGGCCCGCGCCTCCCCGGGGACACCGCTTACCAGGGTGGGCCGCGGCGGGAGCGGCTCGCAGCAGGAGCTGCGCCTGGGGCAGCGCCGCCGAAGGGCCGAGTCCCCGCAAGGCCCCGGAGGCCGAGGCCGAGGCCACACGCCCCACAAGACTCAACATGGCGGAGTCCGGGTGGAGACTGAACGCCGCAGCGCTCCCCGCCGCCTGGCCTGTGGGAGGGGCGGGGCCTCCTCCGCCGTCGGCACGGCCATTGGCTGAGGTCGCCGCTCGTCATTCTCAGCGGAGCTCCTATAGGGTGAGAGACTCCTGGCTCCTCATCTATTGGTCTAAACTGGTGCCAATCTGGAACTCCTCTTTCTGATTGGTGGAGGTACTCTCCGAGTCTCGAAACTCGATTGGGTCATGGGAATGTCAGTCGGAGAGGGTACTTGGCGGAAGTACGTTTGAGCGAGGGGCGGGGTTCCTGCTGAACGTGGAACTAGGCTGCCTTTGACCGTCCTTGGACCTTGAGAGAGGGGACAGGCACGGAGGTTTCCCAGGCGGCGGCGATCTGAAAGTCTGGAGCCTTCTGTGGCCTCGCAGCGTGGGTTCTCCCCCGCCCCACACTAGTGAGGGTCTAGGTTTCCGGGCGGCTCAGGTCTTTTCCTCCAAAAGAGCCACGCAGTGAGCCACGCCGTCCTTGCGCAGACAGGCGGCTGCATCGAGGAGCCAGACATCCGAAGGGTGCCTTTGGGTCCGCTAGCCACGTCAGACATGCCCTGTAACTGCAGAATTTGACAGGTGTAGGCGGGGGCTCAAGAGTTGTAAGGCGGTCATGGACGATGGCTGTGACGTGTGTGTAGGAGTCCCCACGATAAAGCAGAAAGGAATGTGCCAGGGCTGCGTTTGCCTGAAACCATGTCCCTTAGTTGATAGCTGAGGTGAAAAACTTAAATCAAAAGATGAGCCCAAAGCGAGAGGCCTGAGCCAGGTCTCCAAGGACTTTTGAATGAAAGCGGAAGCTAGCTGGCGAGCTAGTGTGCGAGCGTTCCTCCAGAATGGAAAGTCACAGAGGGCACAGCCTGAAATACTGACTTTATTCAGCGACACTGGGGGTGGGTGGTGGGTGGGATGAAGTGGGGGTCTAACCGGGAGAACCCTTCGGTGAGAACACACATAGCTGGAGTATTGCACCAGACTACTTTCCGTCGTTTTCCATTACTTCTCAGTTTTCCGCATGATGAGAAAACTCCCTGTTAGTCTTCGACAGTGGGGAGCTAGCAAAGGCTGTATATATAGAGCTGGGGGCAGACGGGGAATGCTAAGCTCCAAGGGCTCTATCTAAGACTGTTTTTGCGGTACTGGGGCGTCACACGTAACAGACTAAGCTATTCTTCTAGATCCACTCACTCAAACTCAAGATCCTCCTGCCCATGCCCTCCATCACAAGTGCTCTATAAGAGGCATATGCCAGGACATCCGCTGAAAAGAAGTGCCAAGTGTGTACTCTTGCTTTTCTCCACAGCAACCGCACGCGTGTGTATGTGTGTTTTGATGCAGATGGGTATTTTGTTTGGGTCTAGGGGGCCAAATGATAATATCAGATCTCCTGGGTAGGACTGGTTGGGAGCCGCCCGACATGGGTGTTGGGAATAGAATCCTGGAAGAACTGTTGCTAACTGCTGAGCTACCATTCTGGGGCCCCCACCTCTCCCACTCTGAGACAAAGGAAGTGCTTGAGGAGGGTTGGGAGGTGTGGCCTTGTTGGAGCAGGTGTGTCACTGGGTCCACACGGGGTCCAGTGTCCCACCATCCTGGCAGGAGAGCTGCCTGAGGATCAGGATGTGGCCCTCAGCTACTGCCCCAACGCCATGCCTGTTTGCTTCCTATCAAGACGGTCATGGACTAGCCTAAAATTGTGAGCAAGACCCCAGCTAAACGTTTCTTTTGTAAGAGTTGCTCTGGGCATGGTTCTCTTCACAGGGTTATCAATGGGTAACTAAGACAGTCTCACCATGTAGCCTTGGGGCCTCTGATTTACTGCTATGTAAATGAGGCTGGCCAGGAACTCCCAAGTTACAGGTAACACAACCATTCCCAGATGCTTTTGGGGGTGGGAGAGTTTGTTTTTTCATGACAGGGTTTCTCTGTGTAGCTTTGGAGCCTGTCCTGGAACTCACTCTTTGGCCCAGCTGGCCTCAAACTCAACCTGAGGGTTGTGAACCCTTTAGATTGCTTAAGACAGTCTGCAGGTCAGGTATTTATGATTCCTCTGATCTTGCTGTTACTAACAAGTATCTGACCTGCAGGATATTGATATGTAACCCATTAGAGACCCATAGATGGAATCCACTTAGAGTGGCATACCGGATGAGCTCCTTCCAGCAGAGGCTTAGTGCTTTCAGATGGCGCCTTCCCAGCACCCGTGTGGCAGCTCGTAACCACTCCTAACTGCAGTTCTGGAGACCCGAGGTGGCCATCTTCTGGACTCCATGGCATAGGCACTGCTTACACGTGGTGCATACAGATACATGCAGGCCACTCATTAAACATACACCTTACAGTGTTGCCTAAATCCTACTTCCTTGCTCAGAAAGGACCAGTCAAAAATGTTTAATAAGGCCTGAAAGTGTAGCTCACTGGTAGCACACTTTCCTGTTGTGTATAGAGCACCCAGCACTAAAATATCTTATACACCCTATTTACTCAAGCCCCACCATTTTTGATACAGGGCTTGTGTAGCCCAGCTTGTCCCCAAAGTCCTGATCTGCTGGCCTGTACAGGGATTAAAAGAGTGTGCTGCCATCCCTTTCAGAACACAATATTCACCTGAGTCATTTCAAATGTTTATAAGCTGTGAGATCAGTCCTTGGAATTTCAGACATTTATCTGCTCCACATGCCAAATTGCAACAAAGTAAGGTTGGAATAGTTTGCCAAGACTAGCAGAATTTCTGACAAGGACAAAGCAGGATGGCCTTCTACTCAGAGCTGCCTGACTCTTGCCTCAAGTGGCGCAACTAAAGACATTCAGGACCCTACTGCTTTACCAAGGGTGACAGCATTGCTCAGAAGCCACACTTGCAGTATGTGAACTTCCATCCCAGGTTGGTTTCAACCTGCACAGCCACACATGAACTCATCCCCCTGCTGGGACTACAGGGATGAACTATCAGGTTGGGCTGTTTATTTGAAGCAGGGTCTTACTTTGTGGTCTAGGCTGGCCTGAATGAAGCTCAAGAATTTATCCTTGCCCGTCTGAGTGTTTGGATTTAAGGCTTGTGTCCAAATGTCTAGATAAAATGTTAGAATTCACAATTACTCAGGTTCCCAAGGGACCAGATACCTTTTGGCCTCCCTCAATACACCTCCCCTCCAACTTAGGTGCTGGGGAGATGGGCTCAACAGCGAAGACTACACACCGCTCTAAGGACCTGCACTCAATTTCTAGGGCCCACCATGGTAGCTGGGTCCTACACCTGAGGGGACCAGCACACACACGGAACACATTTTGCTTATTTTTCAGGACTGGGTTTCTGTGTAGCCCTGACTGGCCTTGAACTCAAGAGACGATACCTGCCAGGTGGGCCTCTGTGAACACTAATGCGCTTTACTTTGTATTCACCTGAGCCACCCCCCCAAAGCGGTACTGTTGTTTCTGAGCTATGCACACACAGAAATCATCAAGGAACAATCTCTGTATCTTTAGTACTTCATCCAACACGGCCTGAGACGTCCTGAACAGCGACAGAGTGCTGCGGCTGACAGTCGGGAACTGGAGGGACACTGCTAAAATGCAGGGCACATGCACAGGAGGACAGCATACTTTTTATTTCAATCAAGTCACTTTTCCAGCTGCCGCAAAGGGTACTACAGTCTTCCAGTACAGATCCACTTTAAAGTGTTTTCTATGACAGCAGAGCAAACAGGAGCAGCCCCAAGCTTTCCCTCAAAAATAACAACTCCATTCCAGTAAGTGGTAAATACATGAAATCACAGCAAACCAGACACTTACAAGGAGAGCCAAGAAATCTTCCAACAGTTTATTAGAAAGAATGTAGACATTTAAAAAAATCCCCACTGTCATGAACATAAAATTGAGGTTTTCCAGCCAGGGCATAAGCTGAAATCAAAACAGGAAATTAAAAAAAAAAAAAAAAAAAAAAACCCAATAGTGTATTAACATTTTCCACTCATTTGCCATACTGACAGTGCAAATACAAATCTGGTCTAAAATGTACAGACTCTCAAGCAACAATGTACAGCTTTCTTCGTCCTCCATGCTAAGAGATGTAAGAGCTCAAGGGCCAAACAATACCAAATGTATAGGCTTCAAAAACCATCTAAGTTAGGGCACTCACTAGTTTTAACTAAAATACACCTCAACACTGGCAAGTGACCACATACAATGATGTAAATAAAGTACTTTCTTTTTTTGAAAAATAATCTTTAGTGGAATAATTCTGAAAGGTACACTGGAAGAATGGCAGGGTATCAGTTTAAGATATCAGCCAATTTGTCCCAGTCCCCTTCAAGTCCATGGTCGAGGATCTAAAACTAGTTCTCTCTCCCTAAGCTGAGCTTCCTAACATGTAAGTAACGGTTATGAAGAAAGACTTAGGTGAAATGTGTTTACTCATCAGAGCTGCTCTATCAGTTGCCTAGGATTTCAACTGCTTCATGGAATCCTGGGAAATGTTCATGCATAAGGATATTGCCTTAGCTGACTTAAATTGCCCCATACAATGGTACATTATCAACCCTTAGTGAAGCCTTAAAAGAAAAAAAAGAAAAAAAAAAAAAAAAAAAAAAAAAAAAAAAGGTTGAAAAATGGGTTAAAGGAGGCAAACACAGCATCTGCCTTTAGAGCTATCAACTCAGGAATTTTCTCAATTATGAAATCTTGCAGAAGTTATTTCTCTGTCTCAAGATCCCAGCGATGACAGCATTCCTTACTCCAGATCTGGCATTTCTGAAAGGATTTTAAGAATAATCAGCAGGTCTACAAGAACTATAACAGAACCCAACAGCCAGAATCTCAGTAGAAAAGCAGCCCGCCCGCAGCTCCTTAGTAAGCACTGTGTCATCTTGGAGACAGAGCTAAGGACACCTTCTAAGAATGATGACAAGGGTCTAGAGGCCCTTCTTTAGCACTCTAGCCCATTTCAATTCTTGGAAATGCTTCCCTGTCCCATTTTCTTTCTTTTTTTTTTTGAGACAGGGTTTCAGTGCAGCTCCAGCTGTCCTGGAACTCCCTCACTCCCTCTACTGTAGACCAGGTTGGCCTCAAACTTAGATCCACCTGTATCTGCCTCCCAAGTGCTGTAATTAAAGGTACGCACCACCAGCCTATGCTTTCTTTCTTATTTATACTAATTCTATTCCATAGCAAATTTGAAACTTATGTGTCTGGGATAGAGAAATTGCTACTTTTCCAGAGAACCCAGGTTTAATTTCCAGCATCTATGTGGTGGCTCACAATTGGCGTTAAGTCCAGTTACAAAGGGTCTGATGGTCTCTTTGTCTCCACAGGCACCAGCTACATACACAGACACATGCAGGCAGAACAGAAACATAAAAAAAGGTGCTGGGTGGTGGTGGTGCACACATTTAATCCAAGTGCTTGAGAAGTAGAGGCAGGTGGATCTCTGAGATTGAAGCCAGTCTGGCCTACAGAGTTCCAGGACAGCCAGGACTGTTACACAGAGAAACCCTGTGTGAAAAATGAAAGTATGATCTTTTCCTTCATTTTTCCTAGTGGTTGCTGGAATTTTAACCTAACCTGTACTCTTACCATTCTCTTAAACTAAATGGTGTCTGCTCTGAAATTTGGTGTGAGACACTGGAGATAGTAAACAAAGCAAAAACAAAAAAGCCAACCCCAACACCTCCAAAACCCCTCACGTACTTTCATCATCGCTGTCTTGTGAATCCTGTGGAAGAAATTTTAAAAAGTTACCAAGCTAATCATAAACACATTCTTCTTTACAGAAAGAATATTACTAAGAATCTTAAACATATTTTTTTTACTATAGTAGCAAATACAGAACCTAGGAAGTTAATGGTAATTGATTCATCTGATTTATTCTCCTATCTCTCTGTAAACAGTGCTGTGCACTTCCTGAGCTCACCCTCAGTCCCCTCCCAACCGGGTGTCAGCTCTTCCCACTTGATTAAAGGAAAAAGGACTCAACACAAAGACCTGGTTTTAAATCTTCCTATTTGTATCCTTGGCAAAACAATTCTCTCTCTGGGGGCGGTGTGTGTGTGTGTGTGTGTGTGTGTGTGTCAAGACAGGGTTAGACTGCTTTTGAGCTCAGATTCACCTGCCTCTGCCTCCCGATGCCGGAATTAAAGGCGAGCACCATTCAAGACCCAAGGATAACCCTTTGAACTCTTACCTTTTTTGCAGTAATTTCTTAAAAATGTCATCCTTAGTGATCCACAAATACAACTTCCCTACTTGACAACCACCAGCCCCCATGGATACATCTAAAAGAACCAGTACTTCTCTTACAGACGTTGGTTAAGGAACAAGTATGGGGGGTGGGGGGGGAGAAGAATGGATACGAGTGCAGGGGAGCCATGGGTATGTGAGGCTACTTATAAAGGAACTGCACTTACTATTAGGAAATAGAAGATGGCCCATACTTACATCATCTGCTCCATCTACTTCAGGTAAATCTACATCCTCATCACCACCCATGTGATCCATCATCTGTTTGAAGCATAAAAATTAGTTTTAAAATAATCTAAGACATCACACACAACCAGAGAGACTACCACTTCTGTGAAAACAAGGGAAGGTCCAAGTAGGATGTCCTGACACATGACTTTAAAAGTTCAAGATCTTCCTCAACCACATATTGTGAGATGAGAGGCAAACCTGATGGGCTACATGAGATCCTATCTTCATAAAAAATAGAAAAAAAAAAAGTTGCTAAATTCCACACAGTGGCTCACAGGTATTGATAAATTCTGAGATTATAAAACATGAGCCGGATGTTGGTGGTGCTTGCCTTTAACCCTAGCACTTTGGGAGACCGAAGACAGCCTGGTCTACAGAGTGAGTTCCAGGACAGGCTCCAAAGCTAGACAGGAAAAAAACAAAAACGGGCATCATAGTCCTTTTGATTACCACCCATCTCACTTTTTTTTTTTTTTTTTTTTTTTTTTTTTTTTGAGACAGGGTGTCCTGGAACTCACAGAGACCCTCTTGTCCCTGCCTCCCAAGTGCCAGGATTAAAGAAAAACACAGGTTACACCCAGCTCCTCTTCTTGATTTTGCAAACAAATCTTTGCACCCATCAGTGGGGAGTTGGCTCAGTGGTTAAGAACACTGGCTGCGCCTGCAGAGACCCAGGTCAGTTCCCAGCGCCCAGTGTCTCACAACTCCTCGGGTAGATATAGATGTGAGCAAAAGTTAATACAAATAATTCAAGTTATGGGCAGTTGCACTAACATAAGGTTGCTGGGAACTAAACCCGGGTCTTCTGCAAGAGAAACAACTTGTAACCGCTACACCATCTCTCTGAACCCAGATGCTGGTGTTTAAAGCGGCATCTGTGTTACACAGCTCCAAAGGGAAGTGAAACCGCTCAATTCATGCTGCAGACTGGTTCTAATATTGGCCTGGAACCACCTCTTCAGATACCCATCCTGGAGCTCACTCTGTAGACCAGGCTGATATTAAACTCATAGAGATCCATCTCCATGCTGGAACTAAAGACGTATACCCCCACTGCCTGGCTCAAACAGTAATTTTTAAAAATTATGTTTATTTATATATTAAAATACACATGGAGTCATCTCCTAGGTCCCCACAACACTAAACTTTGAAAGCCATTTTAAAAGGTGACTTTAGGGTCTTGCAAAAGACCAGAATTTGACTTCTGGCAAGCTCACAGTCCTGTGTAACTCCATTTCTGACACTGTCTTTGGACTCCCACGTGCACCAAATTCCCAGGTGGTGCAGACACATATGGAAGCAAAAAACATCCATACACATTAAAAATAAAAACAAACTATAGGGGAGAACTCACCTCCGAGAAGCGGTCAAAATTGGACATGTCCTCATCGGAATCATCTTCCCAGTCTTTCCAATTGTTGAAGTCCACACTCAGCCAATTGAGCTACAGATCAAGAGCGCACCACCCCATGTTAGTTTTTGAACTTACACCCACCAATAGGACATAAGTTAGCACAAAAGACAAAACACCCAGAGAAATTCAAAGTAGTAACAAGCTCATAAATCACTTTGTTCAACTTCCCTTTTATTCAGCCACATCAGTGTTTCCATTCCAGAGAGCACCTTACTATGTGGCTTCCCAGCTGCCTCTTACACTCTGGGATAAATAAGTGCCACTATGCATGGCCCTTTGAAGACATTCAACTTGGAGTCTCTACCATGTTAAGTTCTTTGAATTTATTTAAGTGACAACAAACTTTGCTCTACTATGATAAATCACAAAACTCATATAAAAGCCTTTTCTCTGCAGCAGACTCTCTCCCTTTTCCTGTTTTAGAGTCCGAACTCCTTGTTCTCCTGCCTCTGTTGGAACCAACATGCCTGAGTCAATTCTTGTACTGGGGATTAAACTCAGGACCTCGCAGACACGAAAGTACCAAGTTGATCCCTAAACAAGACAGGCTCCAACTATCCAGCCCAGTGTGCTATTTTATGTCATCTCAATAGGTTAGAGTCCTGAAAGAAGGCTGCAGAACATTTTAATTAGTGATTGACAGGGGAGGGCCCAGCCCACTGTGGGTAGGGTAATCCCTGGGCTCCACAAGAAAGCTGGCTGAGCAAGCCACGGGGAGCAATCTAGTAAGCAGTTCCCTCCAAGGCCCCTGCATCAGCTCCTGACTCGCTTCAGCGATGGACTGTGGATGTGGAAGTTGCTTCCTATTGTTTTAATCACAGCAACAGTAAGCAAGCCTAACATCCAGGCAAGCTTGTCTCAATTTCAGTCTTAGCCTCAAATGTGCTACCAACTCCTGATGCAAAAGCCTGTGTCTCTTGAATGTCAAAAATTCTATTATCAAACGGGGAAGACTCCAGGACATTTGGTGAGAAAGTCAAGTGGAAAACACCGGCCTTTATACTATATAGATATACTGTCTCCAAAAACAAACCAAAACAACAAAATCCTATTATAAAAATTCATTTTACTTCTTAAGCACAGAAAATGAGAACCTACCTTTGCCCTCTCCTTTGTTAACCTAGGCCATGACTGGCCGGATTCTCCTTTTCGCAAACAACATAAAATCGATCTGTCCGTTCTTTTATGCTTGGAATCCTATATATATATATATATATATAAAAAAACATGTCACAGTGAATAGCTGGTCTTGTTCTACTTTTCCCCTTTCACTGATTTCTCTGTAACCTTTTCTTTTTTTGGGGGGGGGGGGTTGGGAGGGGGATTGTTAGAAACCAAACCTAGGACCTTGAAATGTACTAGGGAAGTACTCTGCCACAAAGCTGTACTTCCATAATTTGGCCATTACTGTATAGCCTGGCGGTCTTGAACTTAAGACTCTACTTAATTACGCTACTTGAGTGTTACTAGTTTTTGTGTGACCCTCTACACTAAACTTTGTTCCTTTCCTGAGATGGTTCTTGGATGTAGGCAGAGCCATCCTGCCTCAACTCCCTAAAAACTCACTTTATAGGCACAAGCCACCTGTGTGGTTCTTTCCCCAGGCACTTAGCTACTGAAACTTCAGAGTATTTAGGAAAAGGCTTCAGCAACAATAAAAAAACTTGTAGAAAGGGAGGTTGCAAAATATACAACAGTCTTTACAAATAGTCAAATAGACTATATATTTACTACAGCATTCCCATTTCCTCATAATTGAAATCAGAATAAAGCATTAACACTACTTACATTTGGATCAATACAATGAAAAAGATCAATTTCATTTAAATGCTTAAAATTATCGCTTCCTCCAAGACAACTAAAAAACAGAAAGACAGAAAAATTCAAGTAAGCCTCTATAAGCAATAGATCAGCAAAAGAAAACAAGCTTTTAAGTCATTCAATCGTTTGAAATGAGTGTTGGGCAACCCTGTGGAGTGCTGGCTAGTTTTGTCACCCTGACATAAGCTGGAGTTAGCTAAAAGAAGGGAGCCCCCGAATGAGAAAGCAGTTCCATAAGATTGGGCTGTAGGCAAGACTGTAATTTTCCCAATGAGTGATTGATGGAGGAGGGACAGCCCATTGTGGACGTGTGCTTGTGGGGGCATCCCTGGGCTGGTGGTCCTGGGTTCCTGACCTGGCCCGCTCTGAGGATGAACAGTGATGCACAAGGCCAATAAACCCTTTCCTCCCCAAGCTTCTGGACAGTATTTCATCACAGCAACAGTCACCCTAAGACAAAAGGCAAATTACCTGAAAGTAAGTTTGGATTTCTCAAAATTTACATTAACATCTTTACTGTCTTCAACACAAAATTCAATGAATACGTAGTCCCTTCGATCGTACCACTTTGCAGAAGCAGGCTGCCTACAAACAGGAAAAATTAACAAAAAATTTAATTCAAGCAAGATTGAATACTTGTAACTTCACATTTAATATGACAACATATCACATTTTTTTTGAGACAATTTCTCTCTGTAGCCCCTACTGTCCTTCCTCAAACTCAGACATCTGCCTGCCTCTGCCTCCCAAATGCTGGCATTAAAGGTATAAGCCATTACTACCTGGCAGTTTGAGAGATTTCAAATGCCCTTATCCCTTGTAAAATTTACTATAAATATTAACAATCAATTGCTATTGGTTCACACCAATGTGCCTGTAAAGTCAGTAAGTTATTTGCAGGAGGTAGTAATTGAGACAGGATCTCTTTACATAGTCCTGGCTGACTTTGAACATGTAGAACAGACTGGCCTCTAACTTGTGATCCTCCTGAATGTTGTTATCTCAGACACAAGGCAGCAGGTATGGCTTAGTGTTGTTGATGTGCAACTGCCCACAAGCGTCAGAAAGGCTGGAGTTAGAGGCAGATATGAACTACTAGGTACAGAGGCTCAAAACCAAACCTGGCCTTCCAAGAACAGGAGGAACTCTGAACTACTGAGGCACTGCTCCAGCCCTGGCTTTAAAAAAAAAAAAAAAAAAAAAAAAAGTATTCTGGAGAAGTACACAAAATATGTTGTCCTCAGCAGGGCAGGTCTGAGAGGGTAACTGGTTTAAGCCTGTAATCCCAGCACTGGGAAAACAGAGGAAAAGCATCGAAGTCCATGTAAACTCCGGTTTTGGAGTAGGACCCTATCTTAATAATTGTCCCCTGAAATAGCAAGCACTATAAGTATTTTAAGCAAGATAGACTCATTTTTGTATGGAGTGCCTTTTCCCGTTGGAGCAATTCAGTCTTAGAAATTGTGCTGTTTGTTACGCATGGTGGCACACACCTTTAATCCCAGCACTCAAGAGGCAGAAGTGGGCAAGAAGCCAGCATGGTCTACAGAGCCAGTTCTAGGACAGCTAGGGCTACACAGCAAAACCTGGCCCTGAAAAACCAACCAAACAAACAATAAACAAAAGGACTGTTTAAAAGAAAACAAAGCCTATCCTGCCCTGGTGAGATGGCTCAGCAGCCTGGCAACCTGACTTCAATTCCCAGAACTCTATACATAAATCCATGCAAGCCTCCCCACCATGAGCCCACCCATCTAAAATAAAAATTACGATAAACTCCTCTGTTCACCGAAGACTAACAGCTACAAATCACCACTATCACCCAGATGTCCTTTGCTTAACTTTTTAGAAAACTGTGCCTTTTATTAGTAGACAGCATCTGTACCATAGGTACCTAGACTTTCCATGTTTACTAAACAGTGTTTAAATTAGAAATAAAATCCATTGGGGACAAAGAAGTGAAGATAAAACAGACCCTATATCACTAAATGGAATTCTTATGCATTTTCTTGACCAAACTATTTGAGTGGAAAAACACATCCTAAATAATTGTAGGCAAGTTCATCTACTCTGTGCTTCCTAAATGGACTGAAGACCAGCAGCAGCTCTTTGGGGTTCTTCCACAGTTGCCAGAATCAGACTGGAAGCGACTAAAAGCAACTATGAGGCTCTGGACTTCTCTGGGTAAGTCAGCCATTGCTGGACTATTCTGCTGACACAGCATCATGTAAGGCAAGCCAATAAATCCTGGTATACATTTACTCAACCAGTTCTCTTCCACTAGAGAACCCAACAACACCAAGGACTCAGCACAATTTTTAAAACCTTATTTTAAAAATAAAAATGACTAACTTGGGGAAATGGATATATAGTTCACCTGCTTCTTGTGCCTAGAAATTGAGGCTAATTAATGAGCAGATTCTTTACCAAGCACATCACAAGTGGCAGCCAAATAAAACTCTAATTACTTGCCTAGCAGCAAAAGCAGCACATGTCCTTAGCCCCAAGACTTGGGAGGTAGAGGCAGGAGGATTAAAAGTGGGCGCCACCATGCCCCGCCTCAGGTTTTCTTAAGTTAACTTAAGTTAACCTACTTCCTTAGATGCACACGAAGTAATCAAACTGCTTTCTGTCCAATTTCTCGTGTTTAACCCTGAACAGTCAGTACCTCGAACGAGACTTTTACTTCAGACAGGGCTTTTAGGGGTAATGGAGTCAAAGCAGGCTTTCCTCCAATGGCTGGGGCCCTTGTGGGGGGGAGGGGGGAATGAGGGCACAGAGGAGGGGAAACAGGTGCTGTCACACGAAACAGACTCCCTAAAAGACCCACTTACTCTGCAACTGGCCCCAAATCTGCCTTCTCACAGCCGCGTCTAGACAGTCTCAAATCAAGTCTCTTTCTATACAAATGCGATAAATTAATATTAGTACCTGGATTTCTACTTGCGATAAGTGGGGGACATAGGGCGCCAGGCAGAGAAATGCCCAGCATTAAAGATTATTTGCTCTTCAAGACCTCAACGCAAAACAAGAGCAAAGCAACATGGCCTGTGTTCAGTTCTCGGCACTCTCACCTTATTCCCTGAGATCACTTACGGAGCTCAAAGGAGGTGGCTAACCCCCCCCCCCTGTTCAGTCCACACAGCACAAGCAGCTTTTTACACAAGTATTTTTATTAAATACTTTACTGATTTATTTTATGTACATTGGTATTCTGCCTGTGAGGGCACTGGATCCTCTGGAGCTGCTTTGTGGTTGCTGGCAATTGAACCCTGTCCTCTGGAGGAACCGCTGAGCCATCTCTGCAGACCCTACTCGGGTGATGGAAATTTGAACTTATGTCCTCATGCTTGCCGGCAAGTACTCTTACTGGCTGAATGATTTCCCTAGTCCCCCTTTCAGAGTTTTTTAAAGCAAAGTCTTGTTATGAGGGAAATTTTCTTCTGTGACAAGGTTTCTCCTTGTAATAATCCTGGCTGTCCTGAAACTCAGAGATCTGCCTGCTTCTGCCTTCCAAATGCTGGGATTAAAATCATGTGCCACCACTGCCCGGCTATGAGGGAGTCTTAACCATGCAGGCTTGGATGGCCCCAAACCGCAGCAAACCCCCTGCCCCTACCTTTTCCACGTTGGTGTTACGTGAGGAAATAGAAGGATCAAGAACTCACAAAAGGGCGAAAACTAAGCAAAACTGTGGTATCCTATCAGTTTGTAATAAGGAACAAGACACAAAATTCTGCTATGGAAAGCTGGACACAGTGGAACATGCCTGTGATCCCAACATTTGGGAGGTGAAGGCAGCAGGTCCAGGCCAGCCCCTGCCTAAAAAGTTTTAGCTGGCTGTAGCGATGCACACACACCTTTAATTCCAGCACGCAGGGAAGCAGGGGTAGGGGGTTCTGAGTTAGATAAAACAATTCTACATTTGAGATTTACAGAGCTGGGCATGGTGGCATTTGCTTGCAATCTCACACTTGGGTGAAAAGAGGGCCACAAGTCCCATGTCAGCCTGGCACATACATGGAGCCCTACCAAAAAAACCCCAGACCCCAAGCTCCTCCATCTGTCCAATAGTGTTTTCGAGGGGTCAAGCAGTAACTGTAACCTACAATCCAGCAATGTTTGTCACTTTGTTTCTATGCCTTCCAGTTAAAGTCTAACTCAACAAGAAAAGGAAAAATCAGTTGCCAGGTTACAGTGGTTAGGAAATCAACATTGAACAAAGGCCACCAGTTACTCTTTTCAAACTTACAAGACAGGCACACACATGTTCACTGTAAGTTTGGAAGGCTGGATATTTTATTTTGGGAGTTCTGCAAATAAGTAAACAAACAAACAAACAAACAAACAAATACATAACTTTAATCTGAACACTGGGGAGGCAGAGGCAGGCCGATCTCCATGAGTTCAACGCTAGCCTGGTCTACAATTCCAGGACAGCCAGGGCTACACAATGAGACGGTCTCTAAGGAGTTGTTTATATTTATTGTGTGTGTGTGTGTTGGCTACATGTATGTACACTGCTTATATGCCTTTTACTGGAGGCCAGAGGCCCAGAGAGGTCCAAAGAGGGTGCTGGATGCCCTGAAATCAGAGTCACAAATCAACACATCAGCTATCTGAATGCTTCAAAATGGGCATAATGGTGCAAGCTTAAAAATAAAGTGTCGTCAGGTGAGGTAGCCACACCCTTTATCCCAGAACTTGGAAGGCAGAGACAGGCAGATCCCTGAATTCAGGACAGTCAGGACAGCATGGAGAAACCTTATCTTGGAACGAATAAATGAATAGGTGTGTGCATACATGATGCTTACTATGTAGACCTAGCTGGCCTTGATCTAAAGATGTGTTTTCAGCACACAAACATTAAGCATCAAGAGTAGCCCCGTATGTTGTGGATTGTAGGTAGCCCAGGGCTTCAAAGGCGAGCCTCAAAATCTTAAAGTCAATAGGGCCAGGCACAGTGGTTCATGCCTTTAATCCCAGCACTGGGGAAGCAGACAATCGAGTTTGAGGCCAGCCTGGCCTACACAGTTGAGTTCCAGGACAGCCAGGGCTATAAAGAAAAACCCTGTCTCAAAAAACCCCAAACTTGCAAGTTAATAGAGACTGGAAAGGAAAGATGGTTCAATGGTTAAGAGAACCAGACCCAGGGTTCTATCCTCAACACCTATATGGTGTTTCACAACCATCTCTAACTCCATAGATTTCAGGCCTTTCAAAGTGCTGCAAGCAGGTAGTACACAGACACACACACAGGCAAAACACCCACACACCAAGGTTGGGTGGCTCAAACTGCCTCCACTCAGATCCAACACCTCTGCTCTCTGCAGAAGCCAGCACTAGAATGCACACATCCATACTGACACATAATCAAAAACAACGTCATTTAAAAATATGTTTCATCTCATTTGTACTAGTATTTTGATCACATACAAACATATATGTGTGTGCATGCGCTCAGGTTCATGCGAATGACACATGCTTGCCTGGTGCCCACAGAGGTCAGAAAAGGTCATTGGATCCCCTGAAACTGGAGTTACAAATGGTTGCGAGCCGCCACGTGTGATGGGATCTGAACCTAGGTCCTCTGCAAGAACAGCACATCAATCTGAGCCACCTCTCCAGGCTCCAAGGAAGGAAATTTTAAAGAGAAAACTTTGTGTTGGGGTGGCAGGTGGACCTTTGAGTTCAAGGCCAGCCTGGTCTACACAGAAAACCTGTCTCTAGGGGGAAAAAGTAAACAAAAACGTTACTTTTGAAGGAAGTAGGCATTACAATTAGAGAATGGGTAGAATATGTTGCCAGCAATTTTAACCTACTTGCATTTATTACCCTCAGAAAATGTTTCAAACAAATCGTTTTAAATAGTTGTTTGTAAAGTATTCTTTGACTTTTGCTGCATGAAGGTTTGCCTGCATGTATGTGGCCCACATCCCTGAAACTGGAGTTACAGATGGCTGTGAGCACCGAGGGTCCTGGAAATAGAACGGGATCCCACAAGGGAAGCCAGCACCATCCCACTGAAATACCTCTCCAGCTCAACTGGTACTTCTAGACGAAAAGGTGCTTTGTTTGGCTGTGTTCATCTATTAAACTTAGCATGTTTTACCTAGCAATTCAATTTATCCTTACATGTTCAATATATTTGGTAAATTAAATATAAAAAAGGAAATACATGTTTTACATCAACCTATCTTAAAAGCCATGTGTGGCACAAGAATATAGCTGGGCCGATAGAGCGCTTCCCTAACATGGGGCTCTATCCATAACACCTCAAAAATTAAATCTAAACCGGCGCCACACCTTACAACTTGAGTTCTATCCCTACACGATGGAGGAGACCCGCACACAGGTTTTCCTTTCACCTCCAGGAGCAACCACTCACACAATACGTAAGGTTTAGGCAGCTGGGATGGGGGGGGGGCCCTCCAAATTCCTTCACACATTTCCCAGAACCCCACGCCTTCCAGAGTCTGCTCCACCCGTTCAGATGTCTCGCCATAACTATCCAAGCAGGCCCTTACACCTGTACGTTGTGAAAGTCTCTTACCCATCACAACCCACAATTAACGTCTCGGACTGTGCGTGGCGCCCCCCCCCCCGCAAAGAGTGCAACCCAATCCTCACGTCTCAAAAAGCTTTTCCCGACGAGGGAAGGCCTGGAGAAGCGGGGCCACAAATCCCCGACCGGTTACATTCGCCAAGGCCCCTTTAGCATAAACCTACGATCTCGGCGCCAGCGAGGTGGCCGCCACCCCGGGCTCATTCCTACCCCATCCTGGCACGGAGGGGGAGCGCAACGCGACGCACGCCACGCCAAGTTTACGGAGGGACAGAGAGGGCCCCAGGCGTCCTGCGAGCAGACACGTGCAGATTGATCTAGCGGCCCGGAAGGGAAGCGCGGGGCGGCGACGGCACGGCCCCTCGTAGTTGCCTAGCAGTGCCTGCCGCGGGGGGAGGGCCGCGTGCAGCCCGGCCGGCGGCCCAGAAGCTTCCCGACGGCCCCCGGCGGTGCTCCCAGCCCGGCCCGGCCGTCGCCGACCCAGGAAGCCGAGGGGCTGCCCGCATGGCGGGAGGCTCGCACACGAGTCTGGGGCCTGAGTTCCCAGAGTTCCGAGTGAGCCGGGCCGCCCGGGAGGGGGAGCGGGGTCTCCGGCACGCGGGCCCCGGGGCCGGGCCGCAGGCGGGGGAAGCGGGCACCCGGAGGGGAAAGATGTCCCCCACCCGCCAACGGTAACCGGCACAAGGACGCCGGCGCGGCGGGCGGCGGGGCCGTTTCCCGGGCTCCCGGCGCGGCCTGGCGCGCTGCGCGGCGACCTTCCCCGCGGGATGGCGCACTCACATGGTGGCCGGGGCGGGGGGCCAGGCGAACGGGTGGGCGGGCCTCACTGGGGCGGCGGCGGGCCAGGCGACTGCTGTGCGCGGCGACTGCGGCGTGTCCTGCCCGGTCGCGGCCTCTCCTTGCTCCCCCGGCGGCGGCGGCGGCGGCGGGCTCGACCTCGATGCCCACAATGCACCGCGCGGAGAGCGGCTCCCTCGGCCCGGGAGAGGAGGGAAGTGGAGGGAGAGCGGCGCGAGGACGGAGGCAGAGCGAGCGAGCGTGCGAGCCTGCGTGCGTGCGTGCGTGCGTGCGTGCGAGGGGTGGCCAGGCCGGGCGGCGGCTGGTGACGCAGCAAAATGCCCGGGCCCGGCCGCCGCGCACGCGCACTCCTTGTTTTCAGGCTCCTGCGCGGCTTTCTAGAGAGCTCTACGGGAAGGGCGGGGCCTCCCCGGCTCCTTCGCGATTCTTCCCGAGCCCGCCCTCGGCCGTGCTCGCCCGCCCTCCCTCCCGCGCTCCCAGACCGTTGGCCGCCAACCGCCTGAGCACGCGCCCTGGGCGCTGTCCCCGGGAAACGGCTGGGCTGCCTCGGGCGGCGGCGGCGGCGGCGGCGGCGGAGACCGGACCCGAGGGACTCGTCTCCGGGAAGGTGTGCTGCAGGACGCGCTTGTTTGAGAATGGGGCGCACACTCTAGCCCAGGCTGGCCTCGAACTCGCGGCGATTCCGCCGCCTCGGCCTCGGCTCCGTTGTGCAAGCCCGGCATAGCGGACACGCACGGCCTTTAGCTGAGGAGCTGCCTTTGCGAGTTTGCATTCAGGGCCGAGCCTTTTCCCCCGCATTGAGATTTGGCGCCCTAGGTGAGGGGAGGGGGCAGAGTTTGTAGGCAACGCACTGCCCACGCGATCAGATGAGCTTGCGGTCTACTGAGACTGTTGTGTCCTGCACTGCGTTAAGGGCTAGTGAGGTTAGTAACCCAAACAGTATTTGCCTGCCCCAAAACCCTGACAGAGGAGGGCAGGGTAGGCAGGCCAGGAAATCACGGGGAGCAACGTAAAGTATTACCTGCAGTGTGCAGTGAGCGCCGCACTCAGATCTGCAAATGGGGGCGCTAGGCTCAATGCGGCTAAAGGGGGCGCAAATAGATAAAAACAGTGTTTTGTCTTTCTGTGGTTCAAGCTGGCTTCAAATTTAGGGCGATTCTACTCCAGTCTCTTATGTGCTGGAATAGAGGCTTTTTTTTCCCCTCTTGTTTTTAAATGCTATTGTTATCACTTAGCCCAGACTCTTAGGTTATGTTAACCATGTAGCCCTGATCCTGCCCGCTTCCCAAGTGCCAGAAACCTTACGGTTAGGATTCAGGCATTACGCTGGCCCGCCCATCACCTGGTAGAATGCACTCAGGCAGAGCCCTGGTCAGCCCGAGGTTCCATGAGTACTAGTCTGCAGGCAGATGCAAAGGACCCTTTAAAACCAGACCCCGCCCACTTACGCCCTCAGCGCTCCCTATTCTCTCTTCTGTCCCCGGTGTCCGTATGTCTCTTTCCCTCTCCCCCTTATTAAATAAATTTCTCATTCAAGCTCTGTCTGCCTGGCGTGTTATTCCCTCCGCCTGGGTCACCCTCTCCTGCTATAGAACCTGCTTTGCTCTCCCACGCGGGGCAACCCTCCACCCTTGGCCAATTTTATCCTAGAACTGTACAAAAGAAGACTTAGCACCTGCCCGGGAGAAGAACCTGCAGCCCTGGTTCCTAACATAGTGCTGAGATGCAGTGTTCTTTACTGGCTTTGTGTCTTTGTTTGAGAGGGTTTCTCTGTGTAGCCCTGGCTTTCCTGGAACTCACTCTAGACCACCTGGCCTGAAGTCAGAGATCCACCTGCCTCTGCCTTCCAAGTGCTGGGATTAAATTTAGGCGAGTGCCACCACTGCCCAGCAGAACATTCAATTTTTAAAATTTGAGGGGCTTGGGAAGATGGCTCAGCAGTTAAGAGAATATATTGCTTTTATAAAGGTCCCAAGTCAAGAAACTCAAAACCGCCTGATATGCCTGTGGTCTCTGTGAACACCAACACACGTGAACACTTAATACAAAAATCTCTCCCACAAACTACACATAACTTAAAATATGGGTGATTTGCCTGCATATGTCTCTGTGCGCCACGTGAAGGCAATATCTGGAGGCCAGAGGACAAAGTAGGATCTGCTACAAGTGCGCTTAACTATTGAGCCATCTCAGCTGGGCATGTGGGCAGAGTAAGCAGGATTTGGACTTCAGTCATGGAGTACCTGGTGAGGTTGGGGGACAGCCTAGGCTACATGATGAGACTCTGCAGAAAAGAAAAACACCTTTTCTTGGTACAGGAAATTAAACTCAGGAACCAGACAAACTCTCCAGAGCCCTTAACAGGAATGTGCATGGTAGGCAAACATTCTACCACTGTACTAAACACCCCCAGCTTGAAATACATTTTTTTTGTTTTGTTTAAAGAATTGGGTATTGAACACAGGATTTTGTACATGCTAAGCAAACACTATCACTGAATTATATTCCTAGCTCTCTTCCCTTGAGTCAGGGTCTATGTAGCCTTTTGAATGTCCTGAAAGTCACTGTGTCAATCATGTTGGCCTCGAACTCAAAGATCTGCCTACCTCGGTCTCTCTTCCCCACCACTAAAAGTATTTAGGTCACTCATTACTCTGATTGGATAAAAGCTGACAGCAAGTGAGCTACATTTGGTCTGTAAGCAGCATTTTGCTAAACTCCGGCCTGTATGTGAACCCTAGATTTTAAGGAAATTACCAGTTAAGCTTAAGGAATGAACATGGTACATGCCTATACCTCTAATTCTGGGACCTGGTGGGTGGATCAGACAGGTGTTCAAGGCCATCCACAGCTATGAAGCAAGTTGTGACGCCAGTCTGGGATATGTGAGACTTAAAAAATTTAAGGTAGGTCACAGGTAGTACAGGCCTTAATCACAGGCTGAAGCCAGAGTGTTTTCACTCTGGTTAGCATACGACTCTGAGTGCTATTCCAGTGTGTGATGCTCTGGGTTCAATCCCCAACACCACAAAAGATTTACAAAGGAGGCTAAACCCTGGTGGTTATTGAATAGGTCAATGGTATTTGATTTCTCTAACAATGGGATGCTAATGAAGTTTAAAAAACATTCTAGAAAGCCTAATGTGGGAACAAAATAGATGAACATAAAGGAACAGATTAGAAGATAACAGAAGACTTCAACCCCAAATTCCTGGGAGTTCCCTTATCAAGTTCTTTCCCATGAGACACTCTTGAAGACTGAGGTCCACAGCAATGACAACCCTTCATGCCCTGTTTATTCACTTCTTCCTTTCCTAACCCCATCTCAATGGATTTCACATTAGACTTCGTCCATGCCTTTAGCTGTAGTCTGGACCATCAGCTGATGTGACCCAAGTTGTAACAGTGTCTTGCAAATTTACTGGCAGTTCAATTTCTGGTTGGGGCAAGGTCAAGATTCAAACAAGTAGTTACTCTGTGTTCTCTCTTGTGCTTCATCTTTTATTTTCTTCACTTGTCAGTTAACAGAAAGGTAAAATAAAGGACTGCTCCTCGTTTGAGTTTTCTCATTCTAAGATTTGATAGTTCTAAGGTCTATAATCATGGGTCCATATTAGCAAGACTATTATTTCTAGTAGAGGTTTTAGAAGGTTTAAACATTAAAAATATTCTTGCAAGGTACTGTGTTATCTCTGTGGCAATGTGTAATTGCAGGTAAGATCTCTTTTAGTTTTCTGCCAGCTAGTCTAGAGAGTCCCAGCATAGATGGAACCTTTGCTTTGAAAAACAAAAAAATTTCCTGAGATTGATACTTTTTCTTTTTTCGAGACAGCGTTTCCTCTGTGTAGCTTTGTAGGCCAGACTGGCCTCATACTCAGAAAGATCCACCTGCCTCTGCTTCCCGAGTGCTGGGACTTTTAAAAGGCATGCATTATCACTGTCTGGAGACCAGAATTTTTGCTGTACCTTACACGATACTTAAAAAACCCTGAGGTAACTTAAGACTGCCATTGTACTGTATACTCAGTCCTTTGACCTACCTTTAGGACAATGTAACAATACCTTGGATATCTCATGTAATCAGCTTTTACAACCTAACCTAATAAATACATAGCTTTCATCTTAAATTCATATATTCTTCCCTGTTCTATGAGTAATTCATGTATAAATGTGTGCTGTGATAGTCATTTGCCTAAAACAGCACACAGACTGGAATCTACTTTATAAAATGAACACCCACCATGCATGCTGAAACAGTTTTTCAGATATTGCTGCATAGGATGTGTTATCTTGGTCAGTTGGAGTCAGCTAGTCAGTCTCTTGTTAAAGTCTGCTGAAGGTATCTTGTCAGAGTATACTTCATTCCTGCCAGGCATTCAGGAGGCATAGGCCGGAGGGTCTTTGTGAGTTCCAGGACAGCCAGGGCTACAGGTAACACAGAAATCCCCCACCCGTCTGGGGCCAAAAGAAAAAACAAGTTTCCTGTCCCATGTGATTCTTTCTGTGCTGTACAATTAAAAACAAAACACAGCCAAGCCCGTTAGGGAGTCTAGACTCAGAGGAAGGGGGGAAGTGCTTACATTTTGTTAATTCAACTCCTAAACATCTTTGGGGCCACTAGTGTGCTCAAAACAACCAAACCTCAAGAATCACCTTTAAGAGCATATATACTGTTAAGGTTTACAGCACAGGATAAGAGGCTCAGTTGGTAAAGCGAGGAATGAAGACTTAGGCAATGTCTGCCTGTAACCCGTCCTAAGAAGGCAGTGTTGGAAGGATCCCTGGAGCTTGGTGGCAAGCTATCCTAGCCAAATTCATGTTCTCCCGGTTCTGTGAGAGGCCCTGTTTCAAAAATAAAACACTGGGCCGGGCATTGGTGGAGCACACCTCAGATTCCAGCACTGGGTTGGCAGAGGCAGGCAGGTCTGAGTTTGAGGCCAGGATGGTCTACAGAGTGACTTCTATGACAGGCTCCAAAGCTAGAGAAACCCGGTCTTGAAAAACAAAACAAAAATCTGGACATGGTGGAGCCCATTTTTTTTCTTTTTATTTTTTATTTTACATATTGATGCCAATTCCCTCTTCTTGCTTCTCTCCCTCCCATGACCCCCAACCATCCGCCTATCCCACTTCCAGGTAGGAGGGTGCCTTCCAGGAGGGATCATAAAAATCTGTCAAGTCATTTGGAGTAGGGACTAGGCCCTCCCTCCTGCCTCTAGGTTAAGGGATTCTTTTTTCTTTTGAGACAGGGTTTCTCTGTGTAACCCTTGGCTGTCCTGGAACTCACTCTGTAGACCAGGCTGGCCTCAGATTCCCCCAGCCTCTGCTGGAATTAAAGGTGTGTGCCAGCACCACATCTTTAATCCCAATATTTGGGAGGCAGTTTGAAGTCAACCTGGTCTACACATCAACTTCCAGGCCAGCGGAGGCTATAAAGTAGGAACCACTTAAAAAAAAAAAAAAGAAATTCTCAAAAAAGAGCAAAACTTTTGGGTATGTCAGTTCATGCTGTAAGTATTTCTTAAGGGGCTGCAGAGATGTTCGTTCGTAAGATCATTCGAGTCACATGCAGAGAACCCAGGTTTGTTTCCCACTAACTCACCTGAGTTCCAGTGAATCCAGTGCCTTTTTCTACATCAACACTTAAAAAAAAACTTAAGCACCACCTTCTCCCAACACACTTTACACATAAGAAGTTGATGTTGTCAGTCTGTTATACCAGAAATGAAATGCACATGGGCATGCCTCTGTCTTCACACAATGCCAGTGTTTGCTAAGTAACAAGCTCACAAGCTATGTGGATAGAGTTGGCTACAGAGCACCCCCCACCCCATACATGGTTTCTCTGTGTAGCCCTGGCTGGCCTTGAACTCCCATCTGCCTCTGCCTCCCAGAATGCCATCACTGACCAGCTCCTTTATCCCCATTGTAATTTTGATGTGAACTCTCAAACCACACACCACAGAATACAAGGCTAAAGAATCCACAGAATGCAGAGGCAAAGAGCTGACAGATGCCAAGAGGGTCAGGTCATGTTGAGTTTGAAGCAAGCCCTCATAAAACCAAAGGAAAAGTGCACTGGGTATAATGTGTAAAGCACACTCAGGTGTTTTCGCAAAACTGCAGGGTAGACAGGTGCCTCTCATGCAGAGGGCCCAGGTTCTAGCCCAGCACTCACACCTCTAACTCCAGGCCCAGATCAGACACCCGTCCCCTTATGATCTCGCAGACACAGGCAGGAAAACATAAATCTGACAAGTGTAAAGAAAAAGAGTGCTTGGGAAGGGCGACGTGGTGAGAGTTAGGAGACTGTATGGAGAAGGGCGGGCGGGAGGAGCAGGGCCAACTGGGAACTCCACCCACCCCCTGGATGTTTGAACTTAGTGGTGCAAGCAGAGAGCTAGTCACTCTCCACAGCTGTTTGTTTCAAGCCAGGGTTCCCTGTGCAGCCCTGGCTGCCTGGCCTCACACTCAAGAGCTCTGCTGCCTCTGGGGTTAAAGCGGTGGGCCACCACTGCCTGGCCAGGCCCGGTGCTTTACATCAATCCTAATTAATTCTAACCAACCACAAAAGCTCACCTTGATGGCTTTAGAAACACACACACATCTGGGAAAAGATCAAGCACCTACTGAGTTCATCCAACAAGAAGCCATAACTTTATTAGTGATAGAAACAGTACAAATTCCAAACCAAGCTGTAGTTCACTTCTGAAACACCAGAAAGAGAGTGGGGGTGGGGAGCGTCCTTGCTGTCACGTCACACAGTTACATCGTTAATTCCTGTAAAAGGGGAAAAGGACAATGAGAGGCATTCACAGGCATCATGGGACTCAGTCACTATAATCCAAGGCGTCCAGGCTTTGGAAGGAAGCTTCCTGACTGCAGGAGGCTGAAGAGCAGAGAGGCAGGCACTTACCATAATAGCATTTACAATATCGTTACTGTTGTTTTTCAGGGCCCGGACTGCCTTTGCTCTGGACACATTTGCTTGCGACATGACCAATTCTATGTCCTTAACTTCCACACCTGTTTCATCAACCTAAGGGAGGAGAGAGGAGCCTTAATAAGAGTAACTTCAGTGCTGTTTTGGAGCAAAATCTGCCAACACAAAACAAGTGAGACTAGATAAAAGTTCCCAAGATTTCGTGGCATACCTCTTCCTCCTCGCTTTCCTCTTGTACGGTCGGAGTCTGAGTGTTTTCCTGAATGTTTGAAACGGCCTCACCTTGAACTTTGAATTTCTCAGCAGCTGCTAACTGTGCTTGCTGAGACAAATCTTCAATCTACAGGGCAGAGAGCAGATATGAGTGAAAAGTGTGTCTTAGGTGATGTACTGTTTTGTTAATAAGAGTTATTTGCCCTCACTCTGGACTCGCTGTAGACAGAAGTAAGCTAGTGAGTGTGTCTAGAGACTTTTGGTGTCCCAACCATGAGAAAGGGCTCAACACCGGCAACTGCAAGAAAGACCCCAAACAACAACACTGGTCCTGAGCACGTCACCTGAAATGTCACTAACCTTGGCTTCCCCAAAAACTATGTAGGTGTCTGAAGCTGGGCTCTTGTAGACATCTGGTTTTGTGATGACAAAGAGGATATTTTTTGATTTCCGGATAGTGACTCTAGTAACCCCTGTAACCTGTCGAAGACCCAGTTTGGACATAGCCTAAAGAAGAGAAAAGAGCATTACGTTTTAAACTTTAGAAAGAAACTGTAAGGAAAAAACAGACAAACAAACAAATCACCACCACATTCAACAACCACAGCTGACCTTTCCCGGGTTAAAGTTATATAAGGAAATAAGGAAAGACTAGTTGAGAGTTTCCACCAATTGGCAGCAACTTCCCAAGAGCTGTACCACCGGGGGGGGGGGGGGGGGGGGGGGAGGAGACAGTCTCAAGTGCCCTAAACTAGCTCTGAACTTGTTACACAGCTGCCCTTACAGCCTGATCTTTTTGTCCCCGTGTCCAACCCTTGATTCTAACTTCATCTTACCTTCCTTGCCTTCTTTTCACTCCGACTCTGTTTTGCTTTACTGACCGGTTCTTCATCAATTTCGGCTGCTGCCGCCAGCTAAGAAAAAAAAGAGTTTTGAGCAGAACAGACCCGAAGTCCAGGATGTTTGTTTCCATGTGGTTTGCTTTACAGAGATTCACAGTTCCCACAGTCAGTCATGGTTCTCCACACCCTCACCTGACTTTGAGGCACGGCCTCATTGTTGACCTTGAACCTTCAAAGTGCTGACACTGTAGGCCCTGGCCACCACACTTGTCTGAGGTTAGAGGGAACATGTACCTGGGCTTGCTGTGTGGTTGTCTGTGTGGAGTCTTGTTCCTCGAGCTCTGGTACCGATTCATCACTGTCAGATTCTGTTCCTGATCCTAAGACGACAGATAACTTATTATTTCCAATAGTAGAATTGGCATCTCTTCAAAGACCAACTAAACAATCTACTGCTGCTCTACGAAAGGCCTTACAAAGCTAAACATAAAACAATTGGCTTCCATGACTCAGCCCGAGGCCTCCAACTTCTAGGACTCCACCAAAGAACCAGTCTTAGATGTGGACAGCCACCAGACATATCTAGGCATCCTATGTTCAGTAACTGCTGACTTTGTCTTAAGGCCTTCATTTCTTGGCACAAACACCAAGCATCCAAGTAATTCCAAAACGTCGAGACAAAAGGCATCTTTTGATAATTAAGTGAGGTCAGAAGTAGCTGTGCACTCACACTCTACCTTTCACATCACTCCCTGACAGAATTGAACCCATCTCTGGAAAGCCTGTGTTGTTTAGCTTACAGTTCTCACCTCGATTAGACACAGACCCTCTGATCCCCCCACTCCCAACACAATTCACAAATCTCTGTTTTCCTTCGCCTGAAAGGCCACACACCAGTCAGAGCTACTGAAGGGGAAGGAAGCAGACGACACCGTTCGCAGGGAGACAGGGCTCTACAAAGAAGTCCCTGGGCAACTGGCAGTTACTAAGTCCAAGAAGTAAAACAAAAACAACAGCTCCCAGACCTCCCGTTTATTTACTTGTTTATTTATTTAGCAAATTCCAGGCCCAGGGACAAGGTTAGTGACGCTGTAAGAATTAAGGCGTAAACTAAAGGCCTGGTAGGTCTTGGTTTTCACTATCAGCTCAGTTAGGGTCAGGGCTTAGCCTGGACCACTTTACAGAAGGCACAGATTATCTGAGATGACAGAAACCAAGATGTAGTTCCATATTCCTACAACTTCTACATTATATACTATGCCCACACTCAAGCAGACATACTGTATAAAGCGACGCATCCTAGTTAGTATTGGTGGGCAGCCCCCAGAGGGGTGTGGGCAACACACCATGCACACAGCAAACCAAGGCAAATACCCTTGTTGTCCTTCAGAACAGGCTGCTTGGCAGAGGGGGCTGGGGCAGGGATCCCAGCAGGTTTAGGGGTGGGCATGTTGACGAGGATCGGCTGGAAAGGCACACCCCCAGAGACTGCTTCCGGGGGAATCAGAGGCGGCAGCTCATCCTCATCAGCAGCGGGGGCTGGGAGCTTGGAGGGTGACTCCAGCAATGACCCAGGTGAGGGCTGAAGAAATGGCTGTTTAGGAGGCAGAGGGGGAACTGGGGAGGGAGCGGGAGTCAGGGAAGCGGGTGGGGTAGGCCTTGGAAGCACAGATGCTGACCCCACTCCAGGACAGACTTTCTCAGAGCTAACTGCTGCCAGAGACTCAGGACCCTTTGGGGAATGAAGACAATCACTGCCTTTTGTAGGGCAAACAGGCAGAGCTTTTGTAGTTTGTGAAGAATCTTTCTCAACAGGGTCTGTGAGAGGGGCTAGAGCTACCGCAGAAAGGGGGCCCTTGGTGTCTCTCTTAGCAGAGGGATCTGAGCTCTTCGGAGGTGAAGCAGAGTTCTTGGTTCTTGGGCCTTTCTGAATGGGAGCACTGATGACCGGCGCACTTTCTGGGGCGGGTGCAACAAGTACCTCTTTGAGAGCCGTAGGGTCTCTCTTTGTTGGGAGCTTTTCAGATGCCCGAGGGCTGACAGTCTCTGTGCTACAAGTGACTGGCACCGGGGAAGCAGGGGAGTGTTTAGGGGCAGGAGTGAGGGGTGACAGAACGGGAGCCCCTTTATCAGAGGGAAGCGCCACAGCTGGGGGGGCAGGCGCCCTTTTAGAGGGCGGGGCCTTTTTCGGAGCAGAATTAACTGTGGGGGAGAGAACTCCTTTGCAGGTTGAGGATTCTGAGGTTTCCTTGGGGGCTGGGGTCCTCTGGGAGGATGAGGCTACTGGTCCTTCTTTGTGGGATGTAGGAGCCTCACAAGAGATAGTAGGGGCCGCTTTGGGAGATGCAGTTGTTGAAGCCTCTTTGGGAGTTTCCGCTTCCGGGGCCTTTTTAGGAGACTGCACTGTGGCGGCCTCTTTGGGAGCTACTGTTGCTGGGGCAATGGGAGCCCTTTCAGGAGATAAGGGAGCTAGGGCCTTTTTGGTGGAGACGGGAGCAGCTGGGGTTATCGAGGCCTCCTTGGAGGCCGTAGTTGCTGCGGCCTTTGGTGGAGAGGGAGCCATCTCTGGAAATTCTTTAGGGGCCGAAGTTCTTGGTGCCTTTTTAGATGGTGGTTTTGGACTCTTTGAGGGAGAGGGGGGAATCGCAGCAGGAGCAACACTGGGGGACAGGGCTGCTGGAGCCTCTGTAAGAGCTACAGGAATTGGGGCCTCCTTCCGGGAGGAGGGGGAGACGGTAACTTCCTGTGTGCCAGCAGGATTCTCCTGTGGCACAGTGGTGACCCCTTCAGGGGACACTGCTGGTGTTTCTTTGGGTTCTGCAGTTTTAGGGGCAGTTTGAGGAAAGGAGCCAGTTTCCAGTGGTACAGCAGTAACTCCTTCAGAAGATGGAGTTTCCTTGGGGACTGCAGTTTTTGAGGACTTTTTGGGGGAGGGAGCAATCACTAGAGGAACAGCTGTGACCCCTTTGGGAGGTTTTACTGGAGCTTCTTTAGGGCCTGCAGTTTGGGAGAGCTTTTTGGAAGATGGGATTACCAGCGTTTCTTTGGGGCCTGCCATTTTGGGGGCCTTTTTGAGAGATGAAAGATTCTCTGGTGGCCCAGCTGTGACCCCTTCAGGTGATGTGATTGTGGGCGTTTCTTTGGGCCTAGACATCTTAGAGGCTTTTTTGGGGGACAGAGCAGTCTCCAGTGGTGCAGCTACAACCCCTTTAGAAGATGGGGCTGGAGTTTCTTTGGGGGCTGCAGTTTTAGAGGCCCTCTGGGGGGATGGGGTTGCCGAGGTTTCTTTGGGGGCTGCAGTTTTGGCGGCCTTTTTAGAGGAGGCAGGACTGCCAGCTAAGGTTGCAGGAGCACCTTTGGAAGCTGGGGTCACAGGAACCTGTTTGGGAGCTGCAGCTGCAGCAGGGGTCTCCTGTTGAGGTGCAGTGACCCCTGCAGAAGCTTCTTTGGGGGCTGCAGTTCTGGGGGCCTTTTGGGGAGACAACAGTGCCGTTTCCTTGGGGGCTGCTGTTTTTGAGGTCTGTTTGGGGGATGGAACAATCTCTAAAGGCACTGCTGGGTTGCCTTCAGGAGATGGGGTTGCTGGAGCTTCTTTGGGAGTTCCAGCTTTGGGGGCCTTTTTGGGGGGAGGAGAGATCCCCTGTTGTGGTGCAGAGGCGAGCCCTTCAGAAGATGTGGTTGGAGTTTCTTTGGGGACTGTGGTTTTGGGTGGCTTTTTGGGGGATGAGTTTGCTGAATTTTCTTTGGGGGCCTTTTTGTGGGAGGAAGCAATCTCTAGAGGCACAGCTGTGTTGTCTTTGGGAGATGGGGTCACAGAAACCTGCTTCTGGGCTGTAGTTTTGGGGGTCTTTTTGGGGGATGGAGGAATCTCCAGGGGAGGAGAGGTGACCCCTTTAGAAGGTGAAGTTGGAGTTTCTTTGGGAGCTGCTATCTTGGGGGACTTTTTTTGGGATGGGGCTGAATTTTCATTGGGGGCTGCAGTTTTTGAGGCCTTTTGGGGGGAGGGAGAAATCTCCAGTGGCACAGTAGTCACCCTGTCTGAAGAGGCTGGAGTTTCTTTGGGGGCTGCACTTTTGGGGGACCTTTTGGAGGATGAAGTTGCATTTTCACTGGGAACTACAGTTTTTGAGGTCTTTTTCGGGGAGGGAGACATCTCTGATGGCACAGCTGTGACCCCTTCAGGCAGCGCTTCTTTGGGGGCTGCAGTTCTGGGAGCCCTTTTAGGGGGATCCAGGCCTGTCAGGGCCTCACCGATTCCCTCAGTCGCTGCAGGTTTTGGTGGGGACAGAGGAGTCACAGCTGGCACAGGCGAAGCCTCTGTGGGGAACTCAGGCGCTGACACGTTGGAAGCTACAGGCGCCTTTTTGGAGGGCTTACCTGGGGCACTCTTAGGGGATACTGATTTTGGAGTCTTTTCTGGGGAGGGTGGAGTTACAGCTGGGACAGTAACGGCAACTTTGGGAGGTGGGGTTGCTAAAGTCTCTTTGGGGGTTGCAGTTGCTGGGGCATTTTTGAGGGAGGGGGAACTCTCAGTAGGGGCAATGGGAGTTCCAGGAGAAGATGAGGCTGCAGGAGCCTTTTGGGGAGGCAATGGTGTCACAGGTGTGACACTCCTGGGTGACAGGGTTGCTGAAGTATCTTTGGTAACTGGAGTTGTTGGAGTCTTTTTGGGAGAGGTGGGAGTCACATCTGGTACAACAGGGGCCACGCTGGGGGGCTGGTTTGCAGAGAACGGTTTGGAAGCTTCTGAGGTCTTTTGGGGGGAAAGAGGGATTTCTGCTGGGACAGTGGGGACATCTTTGAGGGATGAGGTTGCTGGGACCTTTTGGGGTGACACAGGAGTCTCTGTCAGTGCACCGGGGGCCCCTTTGGTGGACAGAGCAATGGGAGAAAGCTTAAGTGAGTCTTTAGGGTCTTGAAAAGGACGGAAGGGAGCATCAAGTGGAGAAAGAGGAGACACAGACAGATTTGCAGGAGAAACATCTGGGAGAGCAGGGCCCTTCTTGGGGGAAGGCCTTTTAGTCTGAGGAGTCTGAGGAGACACACCAGTCTCCAAAGATGGAGAATCAGCTGGAAAAGTTCCTCTGGAAGACACAGATGCACCCAAGTCTTCCGGGTGCCCTTCAGGAGAGGCAGCCAGAGATGCCAAAGAGGAAACACCATCACCTTTCTTTGCACCGGAAAAAGAAACCCCAGCCGAGGGAGGGGCAGGAAAGGGAAGAGACTTGGAAATCTCAGAGGCCAATGCCAGAGTAGTCACAGAAACATTTTTTGGGGGAAAAGCCATAGATGGAACCATAGGACAACCTTCAGAGGCTAAAGGAACGGGAGGGGCCGCGGCAGTAGCGGATGCTACGGAAGGAGAGGTACCTTTGGCAGTTCTAGGAGCCAGCTCTTCAGGATCAGAAGACTCTAAGAGACACGGAGTCACTGGTGGGACAGTGACAGAGTGTTTGGGAGACAAACTGACAGAGTGTGTCTTGACAATCGAAGCTGGGGCATCAGCACCCGGGAAAGAACTTGCAATGGCTGCCTTCACTACAGGGGCAAGCTCTTCCACAGCCTTCCTTGTTACAGTGTCTTTTGAAGGTTCCCTCACAGGGGATGCACTCTGAGGAGAGGGAGACTCTTCATGTGCTACCAGGGGCAAGGGTAGGAGAGTGGGGCTTTTCCTGGTAGGGCAGCCTGCCTGGGCTGGAGAGACAGGGGCTCCCACATTTACCAACACGGGAGCGAGGAGACTTTTAAGGCCTTCAGTGGCCGGCAGAGGAGAAACTGGCGCCCCTGGTGGAGCTGACTCTGGAGGAGCAGATGCCTGTGAGATAGCAAGGGAAGCTGGGCCTCCACCTGAGGAAACTGTGGCCGGGGCAACAGAAGTGGTGGGAGTGGTGGGAGGCTTGACTATAGCAGGTTGGGCGGCTCCAACACACGAGACAGGAGTTTCTTTTTGAGAAGCAGGAATTTGAGTCACCAAAGGCTGTTGGGCGACACCAGAAGAACCTTTGGAAATGAGAGAGGCTGCAGGCGATAATGAAGGAGTGGCTGCAGCTGAGGAGCCAGGAGGGCCGCAGAGTACACCGCTAAGAGCAGAGGCGCCTCTGTCAACAGATGGCGCCGGGGCAGAAGCTGGGGCCCCCACAGGACCAGCAGCCTGCTCTTGCCTGGAGGGCAGGAGCCCTGCCTGGAAGGAAGGGGGTGGGGGGATGACAGGCCTCTGGGACGGAGAGCCCAGACAAGTGGGGGCTGCTGGGAAGACGCTGGGAGCTACAGAGCTCTGAGCAGGTGAACTGACCGGTCTCTTTAGGTTAGGGCTTAGTGTATTCTGTGGCATCAGGGCTGAGGACATGGGGACACCCTTGACTAGAGAAGTGACAGTTGGAGTGATGGACAGTGTCTGAGGACAGGATGCTAATCCAGTTGGAACAGAGGCCAGGGAGGTTTCAGGGGGCGGAGGAAGAACACTGACTACCCCTGGAGGGTTTGGGGCAGTGTCTTTCAGCTTTGGGAATAGAGGACAGGGAATCTGACTAGCAGAGGCCTTTGGTTCCAAGGGAGCAACAGTTGAGGAAGGTGAGGCGGGAGGGCGAGGCGGAGATACACAACTCTTCTGAACTGAGTGGGGGGCCACCGCAACCAGAGACAGCGGGGCTGAAGAGGGCCGCACGCCTTTCTGAGCTGGACCTATGATGGGAGAGGCCAAGGCTAAGGCAGCGGGGGAGATGGGAGGCCCTATCAGGTGTGGGAGGAAAGTTGGAGTGTGAGGGACAGCTCCCGGAGGCACAGCTGTGTCAGAAGAGGGCTGGGGGAAAGGAACTTCGAAAGGGCTTGAGGAAATACTGGGCGAAGGGAACGGGGCAGGCTGGCTAGCAGTTACTAGAGGGCTCTGTTGGGAGGCCAGGGAGCAAGGAGGGGGAGAGCCAGTCTGCCCGAAAGCAGCAGTAACATTCAAGGCCGAAGACATAGGAAGCACAGCTGGAGAGAAGCAAAAATAAAAACCAAAACAAAAAAAGGAGATAAAGGGGGGGAAAGGTGAGTTGTGCAGCCCAAGTTGGTAACACGCTCAAAGGAAACAACGGAGGATTGAATCTGATACTGAAGGTCACCACACAGAATCAGAAAAAGGTGACAAGCAGTGTCAACCTTCCCTGTACTTATTGCAGTTCAGGGTTTCCCACATTCCCCAAGTGCTACAAAAATAAACCAACTATTTTAAGGTGGGGCAAATAGTCTAAGACTAGCTCATCTCTAAATGGGGAGCACAGGCCCATACCCTCCTTCTGTTACTGGGGATTAAGCCTAGGGCTTCACACATGACAGGCAAGATCACTATAACCATAGCCCTCTCTCTGAGATAGTCCCATCCTTAGGCTGGCCTTTTAAAATCCTCCTGCCTCAGCTTCCATAACAGTTCATGTCACTAGCCACCAACCTGGAGTAGACCGACTCTCAATATTCTCTTTTTAGAGAGGGGCCTCACTGTGTAGCCAGGAACTCAGAAAGGGGTCTATCTGTCTCTATCTCTCCAGGATTAAAGCTATGCCACCACACCTGGCCCAATCTTTCCTAAGCACTGTTGAACAACAAAGAGTCTAAATGGGGGGGGGGAGAGTATTTTTTTTTTTTAATACTTTTAGGCTTCCACTAAGCAGGAGGTGGGATCTGATTATGTTGGACTAAATTTTAGGAAGGCTATACCTATCCTCAGTTCTATTAGAGCTGAAGCTCTTCAACATTTAACACCAAATATTAAACACCAGGTCTCAACCAGAAGTTCAACACACTGTACCCCCCTTCAGCAAGATTGGCTCTTCGGCCATAGTAATTCAAATAACTAGGACCCAAGGAGGGGCAAGGTAGGAATTACATCATGAAACTAACAACATTGCTAAAGCATACTTTAGAAGCTAATTATAATAAAAAGGAAAAAAGCACAGGCTCCCTTGATCTAGGCAAGCATGTGACTCCATCTAAAAAGGTCACTGTCACTAAAGGGTGGGAGGTTCTGTCATTTGAATTAACATTGCATTAAATCAAAGAATAAACAAATGACAAATACCTAGAAGGGCGAGGAAATAATAACAGTCACTCAACCAGTTCTCCCCAAGTTCTTACAGGACAAGGAGGTGGGTGGCTGGACCAGTCTTTCTGGGAGATTGATAGGCCAAAGCCTTCTAATTATAACGCAGATACTTCTAAACATGCTAACTAGAATCTAAAATATGGAATGTTTTACTGGACCTACGGGCAGGCTTAAGGTCCACATCACTTATATACCATAACCAGTGCCCTGATTTACTGTCTTCATTCACTCCAGTAAGAGTAGTCAATAACCGACACCATGGGTACGGTATCCTTCCATACCTAGCGTGCAAGCTCAGACTATTAATATCTAGCAATACCAAGGACTGCTTTAGAAACAAGAAATGGTAAAGCTGGAACCAGAATATTCTAAATTCATGTAAATTTCAGGCTCCACATTTGTAAAACTGAATTTAACTTTGGTTTACCTCTTAAGTTGCAGACCCTCCAAGACCATTCCTCTCCCCTGCTGCCTATACACCCAGCCCTATTCGGGCCTGGCAGCTGGTCTAATCCCCCTCAGCTGCTAGAATCAGACAGGTGGGGAGGAAGGACTTTAATGCTTCCAAGTACAAACTTTAAGCCCAAAGGAAAATCAGAAACTGCCCGGTGAGTCAACAATTAAAGAATATTCCATTAAAAACAAAGTAGAGAGCGTATTTTAAGACATCCCTCATTTAGTCCTGTAGAACTCCCTCCACAAGACAATTTCAGGCCCTTTCAAGCTTCCTATCAAAACATGTTAGCCAGTATTCAAGCCTGTCTGCGCACTACATTCTATTTTAATTGAAAACCACAATTACTTATGTCAGCCTTGGGTTCCATAGGATGGAAATATCCCAGTACTTTACCAGTTTCAGAGCTTTCCCAAGTTAACTTCCCTAGGCCGGGACTCTCGATAGGACACACATCTCTCACCCAGACCATGTCACAAAAGGCTCCGTGCCAATCACGGCTATCTAAAACCTCAATGTAGCTTGCTGGCCAGAACTTGACCAAGCTCAGGTCTCCTTGGCCTGCCTCTTGCCACCTAGTTGCAACAGACCAGAACCGTCCAGGCCCCTGCCCTGCTCAGGATTTGTATATGATGTGTAGATTCCAAAGAAGAGCTTTTCAAGCAGCTGCTGTAACTCACAGCAAGCCAGGGAACCCGTCCTCCAAGGAGTTCCCCCGGCGCTGGCAAGAGAGCAGCTAAAAATCTTCACTAAAGCTACGACCCCATTTAAAAATATATATATATTTAAAAAGGCAGTGAACTCCAAAAGGCAGAAACCTATGTCACCTTAGCCACCGAGTGACTTTAAGAACAGTTTTAACGAACAGGAGAGCTACGGGGACCTACCTGTCTCAGCCTGAGGCTGTGGCAACTCCTGCTCTGTAGCAGGGACAGTTTCTGTGGCTTCACCAGGCATCTCTGCAGGAACAAACAGGGAGCCCGAATTAACTGGGGTGAGTTCCCCGGCCAGGACCAGGGTCAATCACTCGGGAAAAAAAATCTGCATTACGCCGGTTAGAAAACAAACCAGGGGCACACGCAGAGCCCGAGAGGCAGCCCCCCCGAACCCGCCCGGGGGCCGAGGCAGCCCGCGAAGCGCCTGGAAGTACGAGCGACGCCGACGCCAGCGCCTCCGAGCCGCTTCTCCTGGCAGGCTCCCCTCCGCCCTACAGGCACCCCGCTCCGGGGGACCCCGGGCTCTCGCGATCACTTCCGGGACCAAGGACGTGCGCTCCAAGGCTGTGGCCCGCACCCCTCGGGATCCCCGCGAAGCCCTTCCTCCCCCGGGACGGACGGACGCACCCGACCTGCGGCTAGCGCGGCGGCGGGTCCCCGCGTCCCCGCGTGGCCCTCCCCTCCGCGGCTGCCCAGCCCCGACCGACCGCAGGCCCGGGCCGAGCCGCCGAGCCCCCCGCGGCCCCCGCCTACGCCCCCGGGGCCGCCGCGCTCGCCACGGAGGAGGATGGGCGCGGATGGAGGGCAGAGGGGCCCCGGCACTCACTGTGCGGAGGACGCGGAACCAAGATGGCGGCGGCGAGAGAGCGAGCGAGTGAGCGAGAGCGTGACCCACGCCTGCCGCAGGAGGAAGCCGCGCACCGAGGGGGCGGGACCCGCGAGCGCTTCCGGGTCAGCCGCTCGGGCCCCCGCACTTCCTGTCGCGGGCCGGGCGGCTGCTCTCGCCCTCGCCGGGCGTGACGGCGGGGGCGCCGCCCGAACACGGCTGCGGGCTCTGGAGCGCACGCGCGGCGGGCCTTGACCCCGGCAGCTCCTCCGCTTGCCGTCCCGGTGCCCCCTTCTCCAACCGCGCCGCCGCAGAGACGGCCTAAATGAATCCCCCAGTTGTGTTAACTTAGCAATAGACGGTTTAGAGCTCCGGAGGTTCGGTTCTCTCCGGGAGAAACGCATTAACCCCAGCACTCGGGAGGCAGAGGCAGGTGCACCTCTGTGAGTTCGAGACCGGCCTGCTCTACAGAGCGAGTCCCAGGCCAGCCAGGGCTGGTGCAGAGCTTGAACTCACATTCGCTTCAACAGAGATTTTTGGGCACTTCTCAACTTTTCTAAGTCTCACCCGTTTTAGAGTCAGCGTGGTATTGTGCCTCGGTTGGTAGAGTATCAGTATCAGATAAAATCGGAAGTGCTGGCGCAAGCCGTGCAAACCAGCATTTGAGAGGTGGAGGCAGGATCGAAGGTTCAAAGCCATCCCCACAAAGTAACTAACTCCTTAACTCAGCTAGCATGGAACTTGCTATGTATGTAGACCAGGCTGCCTCAAATTGAGATGTCTGCCCCCTCCTGCCTTTTGAATGCTGGGATGAATGACACTTATCCCCTTGTGATAGGGGTTTTTTTTTTTTTTTTTTTTTTTTTTTGGTTGTTGTTTTGGTTACTAAGTTGGTTATTCAGGGCTACTCAAAGTTTCTTTGTGTCCTACAACTTGCTTTGTAGACCAAGCTGGCCTCAAACTCAAAGATCCACCTGCCTCTGTCTCCTGAGTGCTGGGATAAAAGCATGTGCGCCACACCTGGCTCTAAACTGGTTACATTTTAAGATGCCTCTTTGTGGTAAACTAATCCAGTTTCTGAGGGAAAAAGAAGCTAAAATTGAAAATACTTGAGAACGTTCTATTAGGCCAAATATTGTTCATTTAGCTTATCCTTGGGAATTTTGGTTGGTTTAGTATCTAGTTAAAAATAATTGCCAGGCAGTGATGGCCCACGCCTTTAACCCCAGCACTCAGGAGGCAGAGGCAGGCGGATCTCTGTGAAGTTGAGATCAGCTTGGTCTGTAGAGTGAGTTCCAGGACAGAGAAAGCTACACAGAGAAACCTTGTCTTGAAAAACAAACAAAACATTTTTAAGGAGAAAGAAGAGTAAATGAGTATAGG